GCATCCTCAAACATCTGGAGCCTGGTGAGTCGGCTAAAAGCAGATGGTCCTAACACGTGCCAGCCTCGACAGGCACTTTTGTTGTTGATACTGACTATCGTGGGCCAACTGTGCACCAAGCAATGGGGTGGCAGGCATTTTTCATTGTTAACGATATGGATTCCTGACATCCATCTCTACCGCGTGTCAAGTGGAGCGGGTTGGGGGAATAGATATTTCATTTTTTTTTTTTTTTTTTTTTTTTTTTTTTGAGGCGGAGTCTCACTCTGCACCCAGGCTGGAGTGCAGTGGCGCGATCTCGGCTCACTTTGACCTCCGCCTTCCGGGTTCAAGCGATTCTCCTGCCTTAGGCTCCCGAGTAGTTGGGACTACAGGCACGCTTCACCACACCTGGCGAATTTTTTTTTTTTTTTTTTTGGAGACACAGTCTCGCTCTGTCGCCCAGGCTCGAGTGCTGTGGCGTGATCTCGTCTCACTGCAACCTCCGCCTCCGGGTTCAAGCGATTTTCCTGCCTCAGCCTCCCGAGTAGTTGGGATTACAGGCACGTGCCACCACCCCCAGCTGATTTTTGTAGTTTTAGTAGAGACGGGTTTCACCATGTTGGCCAGGCTGGCCTCTTAACTCCTGACCTCAGGTGATCCACTCCCACCCTCGGCCTCCCAAAAGGTTGGGATTACAGGTGTAAGCCACTGTGCCCGGCTATTTCATTCTTAACAATACTGACTGGCTGGGCGTGGCGGCTCATGCCAGTATTCCCAGCACTTTAGGAGGCTGAGGCGGGTGTATTGCTTGAGCTTAGGGATTGGAGATTAGCCTGAGCAACATGGCGAAACCCCTTCTCTACAAAAAATACAAAAATTAGCCGTGTGTTGTGGTACATGCCTGTAGTCCCAGCTACTTGGGAGGCTGAGGTGAGATGATTGCTTGAGCCTGGGATGTCGAGGGTGCAGTGAGCCGAGATTGTGCCACTGCACTCCAGCCTGGGCGACACATGGAGACCCTGTCTCAAAAATATCCAAAAAAACCCAAAATAATACTGACCACTTAATGCCTATTTGGGGCCTACTGTATGCCACGTTAAATCCATGGATTATGGGGGTGATGACATAGTATCTAATAGGAAGTACTGCTAACCTCTACTGCTATCTCCTGTGTGCCAAATGTAGTTGCAGTGAGGATCTATCATTTAGGCCTACTGTGCTGTGGCTGCAAATCACACCTTATTGTCAGTAATACTGAAAACTGGCATCTATTTGGGGCTATGGTGTGCCAGGCACTGGAAAATGCATCTTCTCCTTATTGATAACTGACATCTATTACAAGCCTACTGTGTGCAAGGTATAGACCTTGTGGTTAATAAAATTGACAGTGATCCCAGGCCGGGTGCGCTGGCTCACGCCTGTAATCTCAGCACTTTGGGAGGCCGAGGTGGGTGGATCACGAGGTCAGGAGATCGAGACCATCCTGGCTAACAGGGTGAAACCCCATTTCTAATAAAAATACAAAAAAATTAGCCGGGCGTGGTGCTGGGTGCCTGTAGTCCCAGCTACTCGTGAGGCTGAGGCAGGAGCATGGTGTGAACTCGGAAGGCAGAGCTTGTAATTAGCCGAGATCACGCCACTACACTCCAGCCTGGGCAACAGAGTGAGACTCCATCTCAAAAAAATAAAATAAAATAAAATTGGCAATGATCATTGATTTACTTTTTTTTTTTTGAGGCAGAGTCTTGCTCTGTCACCTAGACTGGAGTGCAGTGGCATGATCTTGGCCCACTCTCCACCTCCCAGGTTCAAGTGATTCTCCTGCCTCAGCCTCCCAAGTAGCTGGGACCACAGGCGTGCACCACTGTGCCTGGCTAATTTTTGTATTTTTTAGTAGAGACAGGGTTTCACCATGTTGACCAGGCTGGATTTTCTTTTAAGCCTATTGAGTGACCTGTGCCTATGGTATATATATTATTATTTGTTTAGGGACAGGGTCTCACTCTGTTGCCCAGGCTGGAGTGCAGTGGCACGGTAATAGCTCACTGCAAGCTCAAACTCCTGGGCTCAAATGATCCTCCTGCCTCAGCCTCCTGAGTAGTTGGGACTACAGACGTGTGCCACTGTGCCCAGCTAATTTTTTTTTTTTTTTTGTAGAGACAGGTCTCACTATGTTAACCAGGCTAGTCTCAGAGATGGGGTTTCACCATCTTGGCCAGGCTAGTCTTGAACTCCTGACCTCGTGATCCACCCACCTTGGCCTCCTAAAGCGCTGGGATTACAGGCATGAGCTGAGCCACCACGCCCGGCCAAGATGAGTAAATTTTTTGATGAATCCCTATCAACTCTGAAACGAGATAGCTTTGGCTAACAGTAGAACTCATCATCTGAACCCAGAAACAGAATTAGGTAACCTTTTTTTGTAAACCTCCTAATACAGAGAGTTGGATTTAGAATGTGAAAGGTACTGCATGTGCTTCCTGGCACACACACACGTTGTTTACGTGTGGCTTGTGTGAATGTGAGTGCGTGTCTCTAGGCTCTGTAGGATGAGGACACCCCTGGTCCTTAACTGCTCTCCTCGTCCCCACCTTGTTCTGCCAGAACCAGAGGAAGAGATCATTGCCGAGGACTATGACGATGATCCTGTGGACTATGAGGCCACCAGGTTGGAGGGCCTACCACCGAGCTGGTACAAGGTTTTCGACCCTTCCTGGTGAGCCTGGGTGAGGGGGGACTAACTTCTGACTTCACCCTTCCTGTGCTTACCTTGGTTGTGAGGTATAGGGGGACACAAGGGAGGGAGCCTCGGGTGGAGGGTGTTGGTGTTAGGTATCTGCAGGACCCAAGTTGCTGCCTGCTGGGGCCTGGCGCCTCTGGGGTTGGAAGACTGTCTTTTGTCTCTTTTTTTTTGAGATGGAGTTTCGCTCTTGTTGCCCAGGCTGGAGTACAATGGTGCGATCTCGGCTCACTGCAACCTCTGCCTCCTGGGTTCAAGCGATTCTCCTGTCTCAGCCTCCCAAGTAGCTGGGATTACAGGTGCGCACCACCACACCCGGCTAATTTTTGTAGAGACGAGGTTTCATCATATTGGTCAGGCTGGTCCCGAACTCCTGACCTCAGGTGATCCGCCTGCCTCGGCCTCCCAAAGTGCTGGGATTACAGGCATGAGCCACCACGCCTGGCTGACAGTGTTTTCTCTTCGGGAGAAGAGATTCTGGGGATCCTACCTGTGGGGTCCTGACATGGGGCAGGTATAGGCAGAGGCTGGGGAGACGAGTTGAGGATCCAAGGCAAAGACATCTGTGCTGACACTTCTCTTGTCCTGCGGCCCCACAGTGGGCTCCCTTACTACTGGAATGCGGACACAGACCTCGTATCCTGGCTTTCCCCACATGACCCCAACTCTGTGGTTACCAAATCGGCCAAGAAGCTCAGAAGCAGTAATGCAGGTGAGTTGGCAGGTACAAGAGTGCCTTGAGTGATCTAAGCAGTTCTCACAGAGAGGCCAAGTAGAATGATAGTGGATCAGAGGGGCAGGTGAGACCAGGTGGGCCCAGCCTCAGGCAAGCAAGGTTGTTGAAGGCAGAGGCTGCTGGGTCCTTGGGTGGCAAGAGGTCACTTCAAGACTTGTGTCCCCAGATGCTGAAGAAAAGTTGGACCGGAGCCATGACAAGTCGGACAGGGGCCATGACAAGTCGGACCGCGGCCATGAGAAACCAGACAGGGGCCACGACAAGTCAGACCGGGGCCACGACAAATCTGACAGGGATCGAGAGCGTGGCTATGACAAGGTAGACAGAGAGAGAGAGCGAGACAGGGAACGGGATCGGGACCGCGGGTATGACAAGGCAGACCGGGAAGAGGGCAAAGAACGGCGCCACCATCGCCGGGAGGAGCTGGCTCCCTACCCCAAGAGCAAGAAGGGTAAGCTGGGCAGAATGGGGCTCGGTGAGACCAGCAAGGTGCAGGGCACACTGCGTGAGGAAGCCTTCCCTCAAAAAGATGCCTAGACCTGGGGCCTAGAGGAGGGTGCTGTGGTACATGGCAGCCAGGGGCTTCATTTCTTCTTGTGGGGTGGGGCTCAGTGATCAGGGGCTCCTGGTGCCTCTATTGAAGACTTTGCCCTGCCACTTCCACAGCAGTAAGTCGAAAGGATGAAGAGTTAGACCCCATGGACCCTAGCTCATACTCAGATGCCCCCCGGTAAGTGACAACCCCTCTTGACTCAGTACGTGGACACCATCCTCCTGCCTCCTTCCTCCATTCCTCATTGGGACCAGGTGGGCCGTGTCCACCACATCTCCCATCCCCATCCCCTGACTCTTTCACCGGCAGGGGTACGTGGTCAACAGGACTCCCCAAGCGGAATGAGGCCAAGACTGGCGCTGACACCACAGCAGCTGGGCCCCTCTTCCAGCAGCGGCCGTATCCATCCCCAGGGGCTGTGCTCCGGGCCAATGCAGAGGCCTCCCGAACCAAGCAGCAGGATTGAAGCTTCGGCCTCCCTGGCCCTGGGTTAAAATAAAAGCTTTCTGGTGATCCTGCCCACCATGCCTGAGTGCTTCCTTCGAGGCTGCCCAACCCAAGTCGGCAAGATGCACAACACATTTTATTTGCAAAAACTCAGCTAAGAGAGTGTGGGGCTGGCAGAGGCTGGGGGGCTGAGCTGAGGTGGGTCATGAGAGAGCTTAGTCATGTCGGCCCTGCGTGGGGCGGGGTGGTGGGGACAGGGAGTCCAGTGTCTACCTCACCCTACCCCTAATACTGATCAGAGTTTGGTCCCAGCTGGGCCAGGGCAAGAAGAGAACGAGGCCAGGCCAATGTCTTCAATCCCAGCGGCTAGGAACCCTTCACCTTGGTGAGCAACCTGTGGTGGGAATGGGGAGGAAAGAAAAACACAAAGCTGGGCTAGGCCGACAGGTGGGTTTCCTGAGCAAGTGAGGGCGGCAGTGGTGAGGCTGGTAGTCCTGGTGTTAGTAATGGCGCCCACGTGGGTCAGAAAGCTACACGTGGACTAAATAAATACAACATCTTTATTTGGCATTGGATATCCTGACATTTGTTCATTACAGTTCCTTAAAAAAACAAACCAAAAAATCAGAACAAATTAATCAAAAATAAAGATCCAGTGGCTCTATTTACATATAGCAAAGACAGCCCAGGCATCTTCCATGCACACACACACCCCGCCCCAATACAGTTAAGGGGTTAATAAGCTTTGGGGAGTGCAGGAGGCAGGTTCCACAGTTCATCAATCCCACGACACCCCCATGAGGTAGGGGTGCCTCACACAGCCAGACAGATATCAACAGTATGATTGGCAGCTTTATTTTTCCTCTCTAGACGTCTCCAAAAATAACCCTGCAACTGGCAACTGACAGTGTCTTAAATACAATGAGATTCAGCCACTTCAAGGACCTCCATTTTTCCCACACCCTGGATCATTAATGATATGATTACACCACAAATCCCAAGTCCACTAAAAATCAAATGGCCCCGACCGCACCTTCTGCCAGAAGGGCTGATGCAAAAATCTTAGCTCTTGTCCCTTTCTCCCTGGGGACTCACAAGAAGTCCATCTTCAAGGTGTCAGGGAAGCTGGCCCAAGGCCACACAAAAGACGGAACTGCTAACATGATCCAGAGCAGTGGTAAGGGAGGAGAGAAGGCCTCAAACTACGGGCAACTGAACCCCAACAGGTAGGCATCGGTCATTCCTGAAGAGCTGCGGAGTTCTGTCCAGTGTGTCCTTATGGAGGTGGAGGGACTGCTGGGAGGGACTCTCCCAGACAAGACACCTCCAGAAGAGGGCATAGGGTCAGGGAGGGAGCAGACAAAAAAAAAGGCCTTGAATAATAACCCCGACCCTGCCTCCAAAGAGGTTAGAGGGGGCAGAGGAGGCAGCTCTAAAACCCCCACCAGGGGAAGGGGGTCAGCCTACCAGGAAGGGTTCACGTGACACCCAGCTCTAGTCCCACACCCCTCCAGAAGTCTCAGTGACCTGGGAGAAAAGACCATCTCCCAAACCCAGAGGAGCCAGGCCCCGGAGGGCGGCAACTTGGGTCCTGCAGATGCCCAACACCCTCCACCCCAGTCCCCCTCCCTTGTGTTCCCCATTGCTGCCAGCCCTCACTTCACCAGCACTGACTTCGGCAGAAAGGACTCCGTGATGAGATCTCCATGGTGGGAAGACAGCTGCGGTGGCGGTGGCTGCCCGGGAGGCTGCTGGTGAACGCAGGGCCCGGAGGCGGAAGCAGAGGCAGAGGCTATGGCTTTGGCTGCACCTCGGGGAAGGCTGTAGAGGTAGACGGCACCAATGACGAGCCCAGCGCCAAGGGCAAATAATGGGTCCACGTGGAAGCCAAAGAGGCGAATGGAGGCAACAGTGGACAGCACAATGGACAGGGAGGTGGCAAAGCCCTTGAGGATGTTGTCAGCGTACTTGACAACCACAGCCACCAGTAGCCCACCAAAGGCCTGGTTGAGCACCACGCCCCAGACAGCAGGCGTGTACCCAAAAAAGAAACCACGGGTGGCCACGGCGGTACCCTCAGCCCACCAGAGCCCCACTAGGCCCAGTGCTGTGCCAAAGAGGCCCAGCTGCAGGTTGCGCAGCCACACGGAGCCTGAGCTGCCTTTGAGGATCTTCTCAAAGTAGACACCTGCAAAGCCGGAGGAGAGACAGGAGGCCACGACGGCTGCCAGGCCTGCCCCAGGGTTCTGATCCAGTGGCCGTGGGCCTCCCCCACTGGCTTGCTGTGCCTGGACAATGGCGACGCCAGTGAAGAGGAGCAGCAGGGAGGCCCACTGCAGCCGGGAAAGGCTGCGGTTCAGCATGAGCACGGAGAACAGCGCTGTGGTCAGGATCTTCAGCTGGTACGTCACCTGCGAGTGGCACGTGGAAGGCACTGAGGGCTAACCCTGGCCCCCAACAGGTACATATGGGGGGCAGCACCCACTGTGGGTCCCCAGGCACAACGGAGGGACAGGGTGGGGGGTATGACAACAAAAACAGCAAAAGGAGCCAGCCACTGGCCATTGGCTGAGCTGCAGCAAAACAGTTCTGAGGTCTCTCCCACCAAGTGCACAAAAGGACGGCTGTGCCAGGAAGTCCACATCCCAATCCTATTTCCTGGCTGTGTGACGGGACAAAGCACTTGCCCTGTCTGAGCCCTGGCATCATCATCTATAAAAGATGGCTGAGGTATGGAAGTATCTTTGTGATGAGGGACTTGATACAAATGAATCAATAGCCACAACAATGTCAGCAAATACTTACATAGTGTTTACAATGTATCAGTGTGGTTCTAGGCACTGCACATGAATTCATTCATTTAATTCTCACAACACCATTCTGAAGTGAGCACCACTGTAAGCCCCAATTTAAAGATGAGAAAACTAAGGCACAGAAAGGTTAGGTGACGTGCCCCAAAATCACACAGCTGGAAAGTAGCAGAGCTGAGATTTGAACCCAGGCAGCCTGCTCCCAGAATCCAGGCTCTTTAACCATTTCACAAAGCTGCCCACAAATAGCCTAAAGCTTATCTATCATCAACCAAGGGCTCTTCACAGGTATTATTTCTTTTAAGTATCCTAGCATCTCAGTGAACAGGCATTACTATTTCCACCCCCAATTTTCAGACGAGAAAAGGTTGAGGGAATTCCAAGGACATTCTGGAGGTGACATAGCCCCTGTCCTCTGCAACATCCCCCCACCATGCTATTCCCATACTCCAGTCCCCAACCCAGTTAGTTCCTCTGGGGCCATGCTGGGCTTGCGGCTCACCTGGAAAGTGGCAGCTGGTAGGTTAGAGATGGCAACATACTGGAGGTTATTCTGCAAGGTGTAGATGAGAGAGGGCACTGCGAGCTTGAGTGTGTCCACATACTGCACCAGGACAGCCTCATGAAGGAAGAGAACCAGGTGCTTCACGTTACCTAGGTGGGAGGAGGAGAGCCCTTCTCAGCACTGACAGCCATACATGGGGAACCCCTGAAGGCTGGGAACAGGCCTTGCTATCGTGACTCCCCCATCCACCCTGCTGTCTAATCCCTGGGGGCTGGAATGAAGTCTGTGATCTTGGTTTTCCCTAGGGTATAACCATGTTTCCAGCTAGCTTTTCTGAGACTCAGTTTAATGGCAGCAAAAGAATCAGCCATCTGTGTCTACTAATCACAGAGCATGTCACTATGTTAGAGCCTACCTCCCTGGCAGAGAGCCCCATTCAGGGCAAGCACTCAATACTCAATACATTTTTGTACAATGAAATAACCATCATTAGGCTAGGCGCCATGGCTCATGCCTGTAATCCCAGCACTTTGGGAGGCCAAGGCGGGTGGCTCATGAGGTCAGGAGTTCAAGACCAGCTGAGCCAACCACACCGAAACCCCATCTCTACTAAAAATACAAAAATTAGCCAGGTGTGGTGGCATGCGCCTGTAATCCCAGCTACTTGGGAGGCTGGGGCAAGAGAATTGCTTGAACCTGGGAGGCAGAGGTTGCAGTGAGCCGAGACAATGCCATTTGCACTCCAGCCTGGGCGACAGAGTGAGACTCCATCTCAAATAAAATAAAATAAAATAAAATAAGAAATAACCATCATTAACTTGGAGCTTATGAAATAGAAGCCTTAGGAGCTGGGGTGGAGGGCTGTCTCCCACACAGAAGAGAAGTTTAGTCTAGACATTTTTTTTTTTTTTTTTTGCACAGTGGCACCATCTCGGCTCAGGCTCACTGCAACCTCCACCTCCCAGGTTCAAGTGATTTTCCTGCCTCAGCCTCCCGAGTAGCTGGGACTACAGGTGCATGCCACCACTCCCAGCTAATTTTTTGTATTTTTAGTAGAGACGGGGTTTCACGGTGTTAGCCAGGATGGTCTCCATCTCCTGACCTCGTGATCCGCCCACCTTGGCCTCCCAAAGTTCTGCGATTACAGATGTGAGCCATTGCACCAGGAGTAGTCTATAGACTTTTAGACTTATCCTGGCTCCTCACTGACCCATGTGCCATTTGAGGGCAGGGGCCACCACCTCCCCCTTGTTGCATCTTTCTGTCGGCCCTAGACACAGAGTTGCCTCTGCCATATGGATGAGTGCAGGCTTGACCATTAAGCAGAAGTCCGCTTGGGACCTGCTCCAGTGAAAACATGATAATTGGGCTGGGCACAGTGGCTCACGCCTGTCATCCCAACACTTTGGGAGGCCAAGGCGGGTGGATCGCCTGAGGTCAGGAGTTTGAGACCAGGCTGGCCAACGTGGTGAAACCCTGTCTCTACTAAAAATACAAAAATTAGCTGGGTGTGGTGGCAGGTGCCTATAATCCCAGCTACTCGGGAGGCTGAGGCAGGAGAATCTTTTGAACCCGGGAGGTGGAGGTTGCAGTGAGCCGAGATCATGCCATATGCACTCCAGCATGGGCAATAAGGGCAAAACTCCGTTTCAAAACAAACAAACAAAAAACATGAGAATCATTTCCTATGTAACAAGGCCTTTGGAAAGCTCGCCCCATTTTTTGGCAGTTCATCTTTTTTTTGGCGGGGCGTGGGTATGGAGTCTTGCTCTGTCGTCCAGACTGGAGTGCAGTGGCATGATCTTGGCTCACTGCAACCTCCGCCTCCCGGGTTCAAGCAATTCTCCTGCCTCAGCCTCCCAAGTAGCTGGGATTACAGGCACCTGCCACCATGCCCGGCTAATTTTCGTATTTTTAGTAGAGACGGGGTTTCACCATCTTGGCCATGCTGGTCTCAAACTCCAGACCTCGTGATCCACCTGCCTCTCGGCCTCCCAAAGTGCTGGGATTAGAGACATGAGCCACCACGCCCAGCTGGCAGTTCGTCTTTTAAGTCACAGCTGGGTGTCACTCCACAGGCAAAACTTCTTCAAACACTGAACAAAGTTGTCCCTGGAACTCCTACTGATGCTCATTCACCAAACCCTGTCCACTACTGGTCTCCAAACTCTAATTTAGGGGAAAAAATTCCGGGCAGGGGAGGGAGGGGTGCTGAAATGTGGCTAAGAGATGAAGGCCTGTGATTAAGTCTGTGGCTATCTGTTATTTCCATCTCCCATCAGTAATGAGGACAAGCCACTCGGCATTGCTAACCCATCCACCCCCACGGCCTGAGGCAGTGTTCACACCTGCATAGTTCACAGAGTTAATAAAGGTAAGAGCAGGTCTCTTGTTAACCTGGAGTTAACAAGTGGGTGAGAATGTTCTCTTCAGTGTAAACAAAGGGCAAAGGTGCATAATTCATCTCCATCCCTTTACTTATGCAAGACCTCTTTAGAGAAACAATTGGGCAACACTTCAAAGTAGAAGACCTTCAGGGAGATGTTGAAATTAGTAGATAAACCCAACTCCCAATTTACAAGAGATAAAGAAGACAGAATATTTGTTAAATTTTTGAGAATATTTGCCTCAGGGAGGCAGTCAGCAAAATCTAGACTACCCAAAGTCTACAAGACAAATGACCTGTTTTCTCCAACAAATTAATTGCAAAGACCAAAAAACCCCTAGAGATTAACAGATTTAGAATATAAGATACCAAACAAGGCCAGCCTGGCGGCTCACACCTGTAATCCCAGCACTTTGGGAGACCGAGGTGGGCAGATCATGAGGTCAGGAGTTCGAGACCAGCCTGACCAACATGGTGAAACCCCATCTCTACTAAAATTACAAAAATTAGCCGGGCGTGGTGACATAAGCCTGTAATCCCAACTACTCGAGAGGCTCAGGCAGGAGAGTCGCTTGAATCCAGGAGGCGGAGGTCAAAGTGAGCAGAGATCGTCCCACTGCACTTCAGCCTGGGCGACAAAGTGAGACTCCATCTCAAAAAAAGAAGATACAAAACAATTACAAAACACTGACTATATACAAATGAATTTTTTTTTTTTTTTTTTTTTTTTGGAAATGGAGTCTCGCTCAGTCTCCCAGGCTGGAGTGCAGTGGCAATCTCGGCTCACTTCAAGCTCTGCCTCCTGGGCTCACACCATTCTCCTGCCTCAGCCTCCCGAGTAGTTGGGGACTACAGGCGCCTGCCACCACGCCTGGCTAACTTTTTTTTGTATTTTTAGTAGAGACGGGGTTTCGCCATGTTAACCAGGATGATCTCAATCTGCTGACCTTGTGATCTGCCTGCCTTGGCCTCCCAAAGTGCTGGGATTACAGGCGTGAGCCACCGTGCCCGGCCTTTACAAATGAATTTTTTAAAAGTTTTATGACATTTAATAAATTACAAATTTGAACATTAACTGGATATGTGATTATTTTTTATTTAAATTTTTAAAAGGGCCGGGTACAGTGGCTCATGCCTGTAATCCCAGCACTTTGGGCAGCCGAAGAGGGCGGATCATCTGAGGTCAGGAGTTCAAGACCCGCCTGGTCAACATGGCAAAAACCTGTCTCTATTAAAAATACAAAAATTAGCCAGGCGTCATGGCAGGCGCCTATAATCCCAGCTACTCAGGAGGCTGAGGCAGGACAACTGCTTGAACCCAGGAGGTTGCTGTGAGTTGAGATCGCACCACTGCACTCTAGCCTGGGCGACAGAGTGAGACTCTGTCTCAAAAAAAAAAAAAAAAAAAAAAAAAAATCAAACAAAGATGTAAGCCTGGGCAACATGGCAAAACCCCGTCTCTCCAGAAAGTACAAAAATTAGCCAGGCATGGTGGCACGTGCCTGCGGTGCCATCTACTCAGGAGGATGAAGTGGGAAGATTGCTTGAACCCAGGAGCTCAAGGCTGCAGTGAGCCGAGATCACACCACTGCACTCCAGCATGGATGACAGAGTAAGACCTTGTCTCAAAAAAAAAAAAAAAAAGATTGGGGGTACAACTGCAGTTTTGTTACATGGATATATTGCACACTGATGAAGTCTGCATTTTTAGTGTGCTCATCACCCAAACAGTACTGTACCCATTAGGCAGTTTCTCTCTCTTGACTCGCCTCCCACCTTTCCATGTCCCCAAGACCTATTATTACACTCTCTATGTCCATGTTATTTATTGAATTATTTTTTTGAGGCGGAGTCTTGCTCTGTCGCCCAAGCTGGAGTGCAGTCGTGCGATCTTAGCTTACTGCAACCTCCACTGCCCGTGTTCAAGTGATTCTCCTGCCTCAGTCTCCCAAGTAGCTAGGATTACAAGCAGGCACCACCATGCCCAGCTAAATTTTGTATTTTTAGTAGAGACGGGGTTTCGCCATGTTGGCCAGGCTGGTCTCGAACTCCCAACCTCAAGTGATCCACCCACCTCAGCCTCCCAAAGTGCTGGGATTACAGGCGTGAGCCACCATGCCTGGCCTATTTTTTTATTATTAATTTTTTCATGTATGATTCTTAGACAGAGTCTTGCTCTGTTGCCCAGGCTGGAGTGCAGTGACATGATCTCTGTTCACCACAACCTCCATTTCCCAGGTTCAAGCTATTCTTGTGCCTCAGCCTCCCAAGTAGCAGGGATTACAAGTACCCACCACCACTTCCAGCTAATTTTTGTATTTTTAGTAGAGGCAGGGTCTCACCATGTTGGCCAGGCTGGTCTCAAATTCTTGACCTCAAATGATCCACCCGCCTCAGCCTTCCAAAGTGCTGGGATTACAGGCGTGAGCCACCACGCCAGGCCAGTATTGTATTCATTTTATTTTTTAAAAAACAATGCACCAAAACATTTATTCAAGATAATATGGGGGAATTTACTTCCATACCATATTACTTTGTGTGGGATTTACTTAAAAATAATATAGGGCTCACGCCTGTAATCCCAGCACTTTGGGAGGCTGAGGTGGGTGGATCACAACGTCAGGAGTTCGAGACCAGCCTGATCAACATGGTGAAACCCGTCTGACCAACAGGGTGAAACCCCGTCTCTACTAAAAATACAAAAAATTTGCCAGGCATAGTGGCAGGCGCCTGTAGTCCCAGCTACCGGGGAGGCTGAGGCAGGAGAATGGCGTGAACCCAGGAGGCAGAGCCTGCAGTGAGCCGAGATCGTTCCACTGCACTCCAGCCTGGGCGACTGAGCGAGACTCCGTCTCAAAACAAAACAAAACAAAACAAAAAATAATAATAAGGGGATAAGGATGTAGGTAGACATATAGATTGGCAGTGAGTGAACAATCACTGATATTGTTTAAAGCGGCCATGAGTTGCTAATTGCTAACTCTGGGGGATGGGTACATGGATATGTTACTATTATTCTCTCTGATTTTGCATGTATTCGGAATTCTCCATAATATAAAGCTAAAGATGACTAAATCACATGTGAGAGACCCCTGCTACTTTATAAGCATAGACAATCCCACTCCTACAGTTCACACAGGTCAGCTCCCTGGCTGTTAGGGCTAGAAAAGTGTAAGATGCAGCTACACAAAGCTGGAGGGGCGCCCCAGGCAGGTTGAGATTTGGAGACACTCTTGAAGCAAACCGTCTGTGTGAACACACACACATACATGTGGAGTCCCACGCACCGACCCCGGTGCAGCCCCCTCCCTGGCTCGTACCCCTCTTCTGTGCGAAGAGCAGCAGCAGGCAGGTGAGACCTTTGAGCACTTCCGCCATGACCACAGCAGTGGTGGCAAAGAAGCGGTCCCCTGGCAACGTGCGGGCGTAGCGGATGCTGAGGATGAGGGAGGCATTCTGGACCACCAGCACAGCTAGGGATATGTACTTCAGGCGCCTGTGAGCTGTGGGGAACGGAAGGGGCAAGGGGGAAGGAGGGGGTCAGAAGCCGCTAGGGCATAGCCACACCACCACCCACCCCCTCTCCTTTCTCACCCAGGACCCTCCTAGCCACCGCTACTTGCTCCCTCAGCCTGCCTGTCTTCACCCAATGAGGGTCTGACTCCTACCGCCTTACTGCCTCAGCCACAAGCAGGAAGAGCCAGAAGGGAGAAATGGGCCCCACCCTGTCCAGTCCATACCTGGAATCCTTACCGAGGTTTCAGGTAATGGCTGAGGCAAGCTCTGGCCACGCGCCTCGGCTCCCGCCCAAGTGAGAAGCAACTCCTCCCCAGACAGAATACCGACAACTACGTTCTCCACGTTTACTGAGTGTTTACTGTATGCATATCACTGGGTTAAGGGATTTCTATGGATTACCTCAATAGACTCATATCATTGTCATCTCCAAAAGAACTGCGAGGATTCCCATTTACGGATGAGCAAACTGAGAATGTATATGAAATGATGCTCCTATTTAACGAGGGACTGTCTCATGTAAAGAATAATACATCAATGCAGGGAATGAGGCCACTGTATGAGGTATGTTCACCCCCTAAGGAAAGGTCTTTCTCCCATCTAAGAAATGATTCGATTCCCTCACTCTCAGAATGGCCTACATCCCATATGGAATGATCCTCCTCATACCCAGAATGGTCTCTCCAACCCCTCCCTCCTGTGACAACTGGTTCCTCCCGACCCAGAATAGTCTACTAAATACAAGAAATGATTCCCCCATGCTCCCAGGGACTGAATCCTGTAACAGGAATGGTTATCCCACCAAGAAAGGTCTGGTCCCTCAACCAGATGAGGAAATATTTCCCTGCACTCCACATGGTCCGTCCTCCCACCACCGCGCACCGACCCTCTAGCTAATGCTCTACCCACAATCACAATCTTTGCTCTACCCACAATCACAATCGGCTCTCTCTGCTATACGGAAGGACCTGGCACCCTCAGAACGTTCTTTTTCCACCATATAAAGATGAGCCCGAACGTACAATGAACTCTACCTCCATTAGGAAGGGGGCCCCCAGAACGGTCTCCTCCGCACATAATGAAGGACACCATCATCCTCAAAATGGACCCTCTCTAGTCACATAAAGAAGGACTCGCCCCACCCTAACTCACAATAGTCTCTCTGTCCTTTTATAAGGAAGGAAGCACCACCCTCAGAATAGTCTCCCACTTCTTCAGTGAAGAACTCCCACGCCCGCAGAATGGTCTCTTCCACAAGGAAGGACCCCACATATTCAGAATGGTTCGGTGCCCTTAGCCTTCCCAAAAAGAATTACCCTCCACACTCATAATGGTCCATATGCGGAAGGATCCCACAATCACTCTCAGAATGTTTTCTTCCCCGCCCCCAACACACTCACAATGTGCACACACAGACACACACAGACACACACACACACACGTCGGTTCACACGGGATGCTCCCTCTCACTTTAGTGAGGAACATTCCCGACACCCAGCGATCCCGACCTCCGCCTCCCATGCGACTGCTCGGACACAGACTGTCTCACCCGCACTCGCAGTCCCCGGCTCTAATGCACCCGCGGAAAGCGCCCCTGGCCCGGCCGCCGCGGTGGAACCACCAGCCCCAACCGCTGCCATGTTGGCATTTGCCCGGCCCGTCCCCTCGGTAACAGCAGACCACTTCCGTGTTCGTCACTTCCGCTTCCAGGCCGCCTGAGTGAAGGTGGGTCGAGAGCCGGGATCGTCAGGGTGGTGGCTTTTCTCCTTCGCTCCTAAAAGCTCAACGTAAGAGTAGCCCCGGGATTTCCAAATTCCGTCGGATCTGGATGCCGGGGACACGGCCCGATCGGCCTACCCACCGCCCCTACAGAGCTTCATCGGCCCATTCCTGTCACTAGACCCGCCTTGTCCTGCTGTTCGTCCGCTTCACTGATCGCGCTTTCCAGATCACCCCCCGATCCCGTCTCCTAGTCTCATTGGCTAAGCCATCCCTCTTTCATCTCGGCTCTTTATTGGCAGCTTCTCCATAAGGCACCGCCCCTTCCGAATCAGAAACTCCCAGGTGCTTCCTGGTTGGACTGAAGTTCCGCTTTCCCGTCTTCCAGCGAGGCCCCACCCTCTGGAAAGCACAGGGGAATCTGGGGACCAAGAAACTTTGACCTGTCGGGGTCGGGTGAGGGCGTACTGGCTGAAGCATCAGGTGCGAGTCAGGCATGTAAGCTAGCAGATAAAAGCAGAGCAGGTGAGGATAAACAAGTGAAAATGAAAAGGAAAGTTGACGCAGAGAAGACAAGTGAGTCACCAATGAGGATGGCAAATAAAGGGGACAGGCGAAAGGCTCACAGTTAGCTAGCATTTGGAAGCAGGGCAAGAGTCCGGGCCAGGGGCGGTGGCTCACGCCTGTAATCCCAGCACTTTGGGAGGCTGAGCCGGGCCGATCACCTGAGCTCAGGAGTTCCAGCCTGGGCAAAATGGCAAAACCCCGTTTCTACTTAAAAAAAAAAAAAAAAAATTAGCTGCATGTAGTGGTATGCACCTGTACCCAGCTACTCGGGAGGCTGAGACAGGAGAACCGCTTGAACCCGGGAGGCGCAGGTTGCACTGAACCGAGACAAATAAGCAGGGCAAGAGAGGTGACAGCCGAGGTCGGAGCATGTGAAACCAACATGGAATAGGGCAGGCCAGGTAAGTCAAGTGTTGGAGAAATTAGAGGGATGGGTATGTAAGGGTAAAGATGGGGGAGAGGCTAAAGATTAAGAGCAAAACAGGGCGGACACGGTGGCTCAAGCCTGTAATCCCAGCACTTTGGGAGGCCGAGGCGGGCGGATCACAAGGTCAGGAAATCGAGACCATCCTGGTGAACACGGTGAAACCCCGTTTCTACTAAAATGCAAAAAATTAGCCGGGCGTGGTGGCGGACGCCTGTAGTCCCAGCTACTGGAGAGGCTGGGGCAGGAGAATGGTGTGAACCCGGGAGGCAGAGGTTGCAGTGAGCCGAGATCGCGCCACTGCACACCAGCCTGGGCGACAGAGCAGGACTTTTGTCTCAAAAAAAAAAAAAAAAAAAAAAAAGCAAAACAGGTGACTACACCCTGGACAGATTCCAGTCAGTGCCCAACTCCAGCCCCGCCCTCATCAGTACCCTGATAGGGATCTTCTTCTCCAACAGGGAAAAGGGCTTCCTCCTTCCCCTGGGGTGCCAGGGAAGGTAGTTTTATCTGCTTCTGAGATGGCCATCTTGATTGGGGATGTACCCTAAACACCTTCCACCTTCATACACAGTATCTCCAACAGACAGCCCTTCTACACATACTGGGCGCTGCCTAAGATCAGGGGCAGGGGGAATCAAGATTTTTTGTTTTTTGGTTTTTTTTGTGGTGCAGTTTCAAGAACCCTTAAAGGTCTTTAGGATGGCAACATAAGACCGTGGCTTCCTGAGGACAAAGCAGAGGGACAGTCTATCTCAGTGCAAAGTAGATGCTCCATAAAAGCCTCACACCTACAAATGGCCAGCCGCTTCTGATTCTATTACTTTTATTAAATAGTGGGTTTCCACACATGGCTTTTTAAATAATCCAGGCAGGGGGAGAAGAGAGGAGGTCACACTTGGAACTCCCCTCCCCACAATACGTGATTATTTACATTTTAGCAACTGGACAATCCCGGCTCAGGAGGAGGTTGCAAGAATCTGCAAAAGTTGGAGGGGGGCGCCCCAGGAGAACAAACAGCAAGCCTTATTTCCCCTAGCCCATCCCCCAAAAAACCATCCATCCCATCCTAGTGTCTGGTGGCGTCCGGTGGTGTCCATCTTCCATTCCTTCCCAAATTATGGAAGTAAGGTTCTTCTCACCAGAATAAGAGCACTTGGGATAAGAGTAGGGTCCCCTCACCCAAAAAAAAAAAAAGGAAAAAAAAAAAAAAGCCTTGGGTAACAGCAGGGCATTACCTCCCCCAGAATAAGGACTCCTGGGCTGAGGCAGGTAAGCAGCTTGACCCAATATGGGACCCTAGGCTAGGGGAAAGGGTCCCTTTACTAAAATAAAAGCAATTGGGGTATTGGAAGGAAAGCACCCTTGCCCAAGTAAGAGCATATGAACTAAGTTTGTGTGGTGGTAGTAGGAGGTGCCAATGTGGGGGTGACACGTCATCAGAATAAGAGTCCTGGGGCTCAGAATGGGAACAACTTCACTGAAATAAACTTCCTTAGCAAAATGAGAAGCAAGAACTTCCCCCTCCAGAATCAGGGACCACAGGTTCTGGGAGGAAGGCTCCTTTGTAGGATTGGGAAGGGAACTGGGCAGACTTGGTTTATGTCTTCTAACCCCTGATCCTCAATCCCTTACCTTAGTAATACTGGACTTTAATAACCGGTAATGACCTGTAAAACCAAGTCAACAAATGTCCGTCTATCCCTGTGACATGGCCATGGGATGGCTCTTCCGACCACTGGGGGCCAGACCAGGCCAGGCTTAGGGTAGCAAGGACCAGGCCAAAGGGGCGGGGCCTCCTTTGGGGGGGTTGAGGGGTGCATCCTCGGCTGGTGTTTGCATCCAGGGGTCCAGCAGGATCTCTTCCAGTGAGGGTCGGGAAGAAGGTTTGGGGGCCAGGCACCGGCGGATTAGGGCACAGCAGTCTGGGGGCCAAGAAGCAGAGGGAAGATTAGCAGTCAGTAGGGGGTACTGATCCCTGAGAGGGATGGAGTTTTCTGGGCTGGGGTCAGTGAGGCCTCACCTGGGGAGACATGAGCAGGGAAGTGGAGCTCAGCTTCCAGAATCTCCTGGTCCCTCTCGAAGGGAATGTCCCCACACACCATGTCATAGAGGAGGATACCCAGTGACCAGACAGTGGCTGGGAGTGCATGGTACTGGTGTCGAGAGATCCACTCTGGGGGACTGTACACCCTTGTCCCTGCACACAAGCCAGGGGTTAGACCACTCACTCTCATGATGCCCTTCTCCAACCCCAAACTCCCCAGGAAGGATGGCCTCACCACAATTAAGAGTACTCAAGATAAAAGCAGAGTCCCCTCACTAGATAAAGAGCAGCTAAACTAGCAGAGTCCCCTCAACAGAATAAAAGCATTGAGAAGTAACAGGATCCCTTTACCAGAGAAAGGATACTCAGGATAGTAACAGGATACCCTCACCAGAATAGGAGCCCAGAATAAGGTTAGCGCACTGTTAAAAGATGGACTTTATCAGAGGGCAAGGCTGAGAATCCCCAGTATTAGCAATCGATCATCTTATACAGATGCAGTATGGGTCAAGGATTACAGGATACCCCACCACTGGAGGCCAAAGGTCACAAGTCCATCAAGTAAAAACAATCCCTCCAGGGAGATTTAGAGAAGCCTTACCATCAAAGTCAGTGTAGGGTTCATCATGGAGCAGGGCACCAGAACCAAAATCAATGAGTTTGGCACAGCCACGGCGTAGGTCTATCAGGATGTTCTCATCCTTGATGTCACGATGGACAACTCCACGGGCATGGCAATGCTGGATGGCTGCCACTACTTGACCAAAGAAGCAGCGGCTTGGGCCTTCACCCAGCGGGCCCTTCTCTGTGATATAGTCAAAGAGATCCTGGGCAGGCAAAGGCCGCTCGAGGACCAGCATGAAGCCCTCTTGTGTCTCAAACCAGTCAAGCAGGCGGATCACGCCAGGGTGCCCACCGCCTGCACCCACTTTCCATAGCAGTGCCACTTCGAGTGGGCATGTGACTGAGTCTGACTGGGGGAACAGGTAGGGTGGGAAGCAGAGAGAGAAAAAAGACAGATGTCAGGGCAACAGCTCTGAGGCTTTTTACCTAAGCTCAAGTTAGGGCCCCTTCTCCTGACAGTGTGTTGCTGAGCAACTCACTTCCCTTCCTGGGCCTCAGTTTCCCTAAAGACACAAACTCACACAGTGATTGAGAGGGTGAAACCAGCAAAGAGCCTGCACAAGTCTTGCATGTAGTAGATCAATAAACATTTGAATAAACGAAAAGTTTGGCCAGGCACAGAGGCTCATCCCTGTAATCCCAGCACTTTGGGAGGCTGATGTGGGTGGATTGCTTGACCCCAAGAGTTCAAGATCAGCCTGGGCAAAATGGCAAGACCCTGTCTCTACACAAAGACAAAAATTAGCCAGGTTTGATGAAATGCACCTGTAGTCCCAGCTACTCGGGAGGCTGAGGTGGGAGGGTCCCTTGAGCCCAGAAGGGAAAGGTTGCAGTGAGCCAAGATCGCACCACTGCACTCCAGCTGTCTCAAAACCAACAAAAATAGAAAAAACTGGTTTTTAACAAAAGGCCTTCAGCAGAAGCAGCACCATTATGTGGTATTTTGTTTTGTTCCCTGACATATCTCAGGAGATTAGAATAGTACCTTACACAGTAGGTGCTCAATAAATGTTGAACAGATGACAGCACTTGATAGCATGGGCTCTGACAAGCAGTTAGCACTCAATAAACACTGTTATTGTGTAATGGCTTGTTTTGTTCACGGACCTATATGAAGCACTAGAACAGTGGCTGCTAACAAAGTAGGGCTGAATAAATATTTGTCAAACAGGTAAAACAATTAGTAAAAAATGCCCTAGCAAAAAATGAGCTCTCAATAATTATGTAATACTTTGCTGAGTGTCTAGAGTTGTGTCTGTCATATAGTAGGTGTTCAATATACCTAATTTGTTAAACAGCTGACTGATTTATTGCAAAGGACCTAGTACAAAAGGACTTAGTGTTATCATGTATTTTGTCAGCATCACCAAGCACCTAGAACCAGTCAATAAAAAGCATAAACGTGGCCCTGCACAGTGGCTCACGCCTGTAATCCCAACACTTTGGGAGGCTGGGGCAGGCAGATCACCCGAGGTCGGGAGTTCGAGACCAGCCTGACCAACATGGAGAAACCCCGTCTCTACTAAAAATACAAAATTAGAGGCCGGGCGCGGTGGCTCAGCACTGTGGGAGGCCGAGGCAGGTGGATCACCTGAGGTCGGCAGTTCAAAACCTGCCTGGCCAACATGGTGAAACCCTGTCTCTACTAAAAATATGAAAATTAGCTGGGCATGGTTGTGCGCTCCTGTAGTCCCAGCTACTTGGGAGGCTGAGGCAGGAGAATCGCTCGAACCCGAGAGACGGAGGTTGCAGTGAGCCGAGATCGCGTCACCTCACTCCAGCCTGGGCAACAGAGGGAGACTGTGTCTCCAAAAAAATAAAGAAAAATAAAGTATAAACGCTACTGGCCACAAAATCCGCCCCCCAACGCCCTGCGCAGGAACACTTCGACCAGCAACCTTCTGGGCTGAGGTAGAGCCCTCTCCTGGCCAGGCTGCTGACTTGCACAGCAGCAGACGTTTTCTCGCCGAGACGCAAAAATTCCGATATTGCGCAGGCGCAATTTCCTCTAGAGCCCGCCAGGGGGCGCTCCCAACTCTACAACTTGCCCAGACCCGCCCTGATGTCGGTTAGCGCTATAACGGCAGGAGAGAAGCAGCCACCATCACCATGGCAACCAGTGACCTCTGCCCCTCGTTCCCCACCAGCATGCCCTGCGGGCAGTCCCCCAGCAGTGTTTGGAGGGAGGATGGGAAAGGATTGTTGGAGGGGAGAATCCAGGGCTCTAGGGGAATTGGGGTGAATCAGAACTGTATGTCACCCCAAGGGAGTATACATGGGCTGGCAGGAGTGTTCTCACTGTTACAGGGCCCAGGGAGTCATACATCCCCTGGAAAAGCAAGGAGGTGAATTCATCATCAGTGATGGAATAGGTAGGTCAGGAAGGGCTCCGAAGGTACTCACCAAGGGGGACCAGCCCAGCACACGATTCCGGGGAATCACTTTGATGGCCACCTGGAGAAGAGAGGGGCATGGTAAGGACGCCAGCCAGTGATCCCCAGACCCCTCCCAGTCTAGACCTTCTGCCTACCTCCAGTATTCCTCCATCTACCAGCAGTCTAGTCTTTCTGATCCCCAACCACACCACCCCACACAACTCATACCAGGGCGTCTCCACTGCCCTACAAGTCCTCGGAACCAGGTTCATCTCTCTCACCTTCCTGAGCCCTGGGCTCTCCGTTCTCAGGCACCAGGACTCATCACTCCAAGTCCTGAGTTCTAGATTTCCTGATACCCCAGGCCCACAATCTTCCTATTTAGCTCTACGACACCCCAACTCTGTACCAGGGTCATGGTCCGTATGACTTCACACTGGACACCTACCTCCAAAAGTCCCATAAATCTCACATCTAGGTGCCCGCTTTCCCACACATACGCAGCCTGGACCCTGGGGTCGAGGACCTCCGGAATCTGAAGCCCCCTGTCCCCTCACCCCCAACACAACCCCCTAGACCGACACACACGCGCGCACACGGACACACACACCTGGCCCTCTACACACACTGCAGGTTCACTCCTCGGACACACACACACACACACCCCCGGTCCTCTACACACTCTGCAGGCTCACTCCTCGGTCAACCAGCATTCCAGGCCCAGGATCCCCGCCCCCGCCACACGCACCTGACCCTCCCAAGACCCTTGTGACGGATACCTGGAGTCGATCTGTGAGGCGGTGTCCTGCGAAGACGGTGCCAAAGCCCCCCTTACCCAGGAGGGGGCCGAGTCGGTACTCGGCCTCGAACGCTTCCCGATCCTTGCCTCCTACGCAGGCGGAGGCGAGGAAGTCAGGGTGGTAGCGTGCTGAGCCCAGCCACGACTCCCTCCCCCCGCGCTGCAACCCATCATTCCAGCCCACCCCGTCTGGTTGTAGCAGGGGAGGATGTGCTCACCTGGCGGCGGCGTGGGGGTCACGGGGGGCGCAGGAGGCCCCTGCAGAGGCTTAGTCAACATGGAGGTGGCGCTGCGCAGATTGAGTCCACTGAATCCGCTAAGCCCGCAGGGCGTGGACGCCCGGGGCAGCGCAGCTGGGGAGCCAGGGCTGGGGGGCGCCAGGGTGGAAGGCAGAGAAACTGGTGGTCCGGAAGCGCCCGCAGACGGCGCAGCGTTAAGATTCGCCGCGCGCGCCAGCCCCAATGCTACTGAGCCTGGGCACGCGCCTCCCGGGAGAGTCACCCTGGGCGACAGCCCCGCCCACCTGGCTTTGATCAATCCGGACGCGGCACCTGCTGTACCACAGCCAATCGGAGCCACTCCTTATTTGCATACCACCCTCATCGTTTCAAGTGCCCCCTTATGCAAATACACGCTCGGTTCTTCCGAGGAGGCGGGGCCTGCATGTAAATGAGGGGGCTTGAGGTGGGGCTCACACCAAGAGGAAACCGGTTCTGGGAATCCCTTTGCGGCACCGCGCTTGTTTTGGTTGTTGCGCGGGGTTGTTGTTGGTAGTGGTGTCGGTGTGTGTATTTACACTTAAAAAATAACTGCGCAGTATCCTTTCCTGGGAAGTTGGTTTGCCGCCGCTGCCTGGATATTAGCACAGAGATAGCGCCAGGCCAGGCTTCTAAGAATCTATCCAGGACCCCGTCTCGAAAGGTGCTTGTCGGACTCCTTCACCGGAGTCTTCCAGGCGGCCTTCACTGGAAAGCTGAGGCCAGGGTCCTGGAAATATCTGGTAGCCAGGGAGGGGGAACCCACACCATCAACGCCACGGGTGCGCAATGGTCAAAGGCAGCATTGCCTGGGGAGTGTTTATTGGAGCTTTTAACCCTGAGCCCTGGGCCCAGTCAGCAGGTCTAGAATCTAGAACAGCAGAGGGTGGTTCTTGGGGGATGGGGGTGAGCCCAGAGTGGTGGTGGCATGGGCTGCACTTGGAGTTGAGAGAGGCAAGGACTGAGAAACATGATAGAGGCTGCTAGACAAGTGGCAACCCTGACACAAATTTGTGAAAAACAGCCAGAGAAGGCGCCACACCCCAGGAAGAAAAATGCACTCCAAAGACAACATGAATGCCAGGATATACACAAACACATACTGTCAGACACATTCACAGAAACGACCTAGATACACATGCAGCCAGAGACTGACATACACTTTCAGGCAGGCACACTGTCAGAAAAATAGTTATGTCCTGGAATGACACCCAGAGATACACTGTTACAGAAAGGCACTCACGCAGACCTACATTTGCCATGTGATAACACAGAAATGTCCCGTCAAACACACTGGCAGAACCTGTCACAAACACACTGTCACCATCAGACATGCACTGTCACAGCAAGACTTGTACTGTCCCAGAAATGAGAGACGCAGAGTCTGTCACAGAAGATACACAGATGCTCCAGGAACACACATGCACTGCTCTGAAGGCAGACATGTACTGATGTGATAGAGTCACATTTGTGGCAGTGTCACAAAAGCAGACATGGATAGACCTGTTCAGACACAGACACACATACACCATGACACATGCAGCTTATCAATGGAACAAACTGTCCAGAAATAGCTACCCAGAATCTGTTGCAGGAACACAAACGGACATCCACCCCATCAGACAGAAACCACAGATGCACTGTCACAGACCCACGCAGGCATGCACTCATCTTGGATTTAGACACAAACTGTCAGAGATAAGAGTCCCACACTCAGTCACCATCTGACACACCTGGAAACAAGCCCTCATCACACACACAACTGGAGACACTGTGAGCTGCACATGAAGACTTGGACTCACCACAATCACACACACACAGACACCACCAAAAAAGCATACATGTATTCTCCTTTGTTCACCCAACATTATTAGGGGTTGGTTTGCTATAAGCCTGCCAGGCCTTGATGGGGATGTTGCTATTAGAGATGTACAGATAAGTCAGGCATCAAACCTGTGCCATGAAGTTTATCTGTAGTACAGTTACTGGGGAGATTTTTAGATAGAAGTGAGAATGTGAATGGGCTTCTCAGCAGGTGACCCTCTACCTGTCTTGAAAGACAAAGTTGGTGGCTCAGGACAGGGGAGGGCAAATTGCAGGCAAAAGCCAAGAATACTGGATAGAGCGGCAAGAGATTGGCAGGGGCCAAACGGTGTAGAACTTCTACAAAAAGGATAGTACTACTAACATTTGTGCTCTCAATGTGCCAGGCACTGTGCCCAGTAGTACATTACTTTGATCATACATATTCCCTCTAGATGATCACAAGCAGACAGCATGAGGGAGTAGATTTTTTTTTTTTTTTAAGACGGAGTCTCGCTCTGTCGCCCAGACTGGAGTGCAGTGGCGCAATCTCGGCTCACCGCAACCTCCACCTCCCAGGTTCAAGTGATTCTCATGCCTCAGCCTCCCAAGTAGCTGGGATTACAGGCACGTACAACCCACCCAGCTAATTTTTGTATTTTTAGTAGAGATGGGGTTTCTCCATGTTGACCAGGCTGGTCTCGAACTCCTGATCTCAGGTGATTCACCCACCTCAGCCTCTCAAAGTGCTGGGATTACAGGTGTGAGTCACTGCGCCCAGCCTAATCACCTCTTGTACAGATGAGACACTTGAAACTCAGAGAAGCTATGAATTGACCAGGGCCACACAGCTAGAAAATGCCAGGCAAGGTTTCAAAGCAACTCTACAACAAATAGATGCTTGGCCATTGGGTTCCAGAGACACCCCACAGCCAGCCACTCAGCTAGCCATGCCCTCAACTGCAGAGCCAGACACACATCCAGCCAGAGGGTCTCCATTATCATGGCATGGTGAAAAAGATGCTTGAGAAAACCTGGGGGCTAGCCAGCCGCCTTTACCTTGGATTTACCCCTAGGAAGGGCAGGGAAAGAGGTGTCAGACTGGGGGACAAGAAAAAGGGTTTAGCCATCCTTCACCTTCTAAAACCTAGTGGAGGAGGCCCCTCTGGTTACTTCCACTAAACTCATGTCGCTACAAAGTATTAGTTGTACTTTTCCAAGGTTTTTCTTCATCAGATCATGATAAGGAAAGAGCAACATTCATGGTGAGAGGCAGGCAAAGCAGCTGGAATTCAGGCAGGAAGTTCAAGCTCACAGTCCTCTGCTACCATCACACCCCCAGGAAATAGGGTAGGCAGGGGTGGGGTCAGCAGGCAAAGACGCAGCTTTTCCAGTGGTAATAGGTCCAGAAGGAGGTTTAATAAGCAGCAAATCAAATACAAACACCAGGCCCCCAGACAGACCCTGCTGGAGACCACTCACACCTCTGAGGTCAAGCCAAGGTCCGTGCCATTGCCTCCTCTGCCCAGAGGCCCGCCCAACCCCTGCCCCACACAGAACAGAGCTGCTCAGGGAAACTGACATTTGGTTTTATTGTGCCAAGGACATTACAGATGGTGGATCTTGTCAACACCTGCAGGGCACGGGTGCCCCATCTGCCAAAGCTGCTCCCACACTCCTTATAACTCAAATCCCGGGTGGCAGCCATAATCCCCAAAGATGTCCCCCACCCCAAGATTCCAAAGAGGCTAGTGGTGGTGGAAGCAAAAGGAATGCAGCAAGGTCAGGGTTTCATTGTCCAAGCCGGCCTGACACCTGCCGCCCTGCCCTGCCCTTGCCCAGTGCACACCCTAGACCCTGGGCCGGCCTCCATGCAGCTGGAGGCCAGAAGACAGCAACCCACATCTTTGTGCCCTCCTCCATGCCCCATGGCCTGCCTGCCCAGAGAGATGCCACCTTCACAGAGCCACTGCTGTCGTCTATATCATTTTTGATTAGTTGATTTTATAAGATAAAAGTACATTTTAATAAAGAAAAAATTCAACATTGAAGGCTCAGACGTTCTTGGGGTACTGGGAAGGGAAATTTCCCACTTCTTCCTCCCACCTCCCTGGCATGAGTGTGGGTGGGGGGGGAGGGCAAGTTTTTCTCATCTTGGAAGGAATGAGGGGCAGGGAGACTTTCCTCTGTCTGAATGTCTCTCTCCTCTGGGGCTGCCTGGCTGCCAGTTGGTCTGTCTCTGTGTGCCTCTCGTCTATCTTCGGCACCCTTGCCCGAGTCCCCTGTGGAATGCAGGGATGGTTCTGTGTGGGGTTGGGGGGGCAACAGGGCACGTCAGCTGGCAGAGAGACAGGTGATAGTGGCAGCGGCAATGAGAGGGAGCGCAGGGGTGGGCTAGCCAGAGAGAAGTGAGAAGGAGGGAAAAGGGGGGAGAGCAGAAAGAACAGAAGGAGGCAAGAGGGAAGAAGCCAAAGAAGGTGAGGTGGCACCGGAGAGCAGGAGTACTGGGGTTGGGAGATGGTGTCCAATCCCTGGGTCTCCATCAACTCTTGTCTGGGGGCGGGTCTCTGTGCACTTTATTTTTCTTCATACTGTCTAGGTATTCCTGTTGGGACACTGCCAGCACCGACGCTAGGATCTCATCATCATCCCAGTCATTCAGACCTGCTGGGCGAGAGGAAGAGGAAAAGGATGATGGAGCGCTCTCAGCCTGCCTTCTCCTCACCCTGTGCCGACGTCTGGGGCTCTGGAGAAATCCCATAGGGCCCTTCTCACTCCCTTCTCAAACAGAAGGATCTGCTAGGCCTGTGAAACCCCACTTAGACCCCAGACCCTTCTGGGGCAAATTCTTTGGGTCAGAAAAATCCCCTCCAGTGCCTCTCCCTTGTTTTCTTGGAGAGATGGCCAGAGGCTCCAGAAACCCCCTCTCAGGACTTGCCACTTCTTCCAGTCTCGCCCAGCTCCTAGCAGCCTCCATCCCCCCAGACAAAGGAGGCTTACCAAAGGCAGAGGGGGACATCTGCTGAATGAGGGCCCGGCACTCCAAAGCAGGGTAGAGGGACACAAGGGGGGAAGTTGCCCGGTCGGCCCCTGCCGAGAACTGACTGCTTGTACCTGAAGCAGACGGACAGTCAAAGGTAGGGACCCAGGACCCAGGCACTGCCTCCTAACTCCCAGCACATTCCCTGTGGGCAAGTCACTGACCTGGCGCACAGGGCGAAGGAGGTTTGGCAAGAGCTAAAACAGTGCCTGGGGAAGGGGGCTTGATGCCCAATTCAGCATGCAGCTCAGGATGCTCAGGTGATGAGGCTGAACTCCGCTGCCGTGGGGACCGGCTAGTCCACTCCTCCAGGCCACTGGAGGCTGCTGCTGTGGCCGAACTGCATGTGGCGCTGGCTTTCCGGGGCTGCAGTGGGGAAGGAAAATGCGTTAAGGACCACCAGCAACCATGACCTTCCTGTGACCCATCCCTGAATGCTGGCTCCCTTCCCAGGACCTTGGCTATGATACAGCTTCTACATAGGTCAACATCATCCCAACTCACACGGTGGACCACAAGGCTCCTCACAGGACAGAGGTGGAGCTCCTTACCCTTTCTCTCACACCCCTACAGTCAATCTGACAGGAAACCCTGTTACCTCTATCTTGAAAATAGATCCCAAATCCAACCCCTTCTCACCACCTTTACTGCCAGCAGCGGCCACCAGTCACCTGGCCTGCTGCAGAAGCCTCCTCCTCACTGGCCCCTGCTTCTGCCCTCACTCACGAGACTCCACTGGATGACTAGCAGGCAAGGCAATCTCGTTAAATCCCCAACCACATCCTGTCTGTCCTCTGCTCACAATCCTCCCATGGTTTCTGCCTCGCTCACAGTAAAAGTCAAAGTCCTCGCCACAGCCCACAAGCCCCTACCCAATCGGACCCACAACCTCTCTGACTTCATCTACTTCTACATTCTGTTCGGATGCACTGGCCTCCCTCTGGGCTGTTCCTGAGTCACACCAGGTGTGTGGGCCTGCTGCCCTCCCCTCCATGTGCACTCAGCTAACTCTCACCTTCTTCAAGGCTCAAATCTCACCTGCTCTGAGGCCTACCCTGACTGTGCTATTTCATACTGTGAACTCACATCCCTGCTTGGCCCCTTTATCCTGGCTCTACACTTTCCATCCACAGCATTTCCCAACTAGTTTATTCATTATGTTTATTGTTTATTTTGTTTCACTCTGCAAAACTGTGAGCATCACAAGGACGGGGATCTTGGTCTGCTGGGCTCACCTATGTATCACCATATACTGAAAACAGGGCCTGGCACAGACTGGCAGTATTTGTGGAATAAAACTCAGCTCCTGCCAGCCAACATCTACAATCACTCCAAACTCCTTGTGATTTTACAATTCCTCAGATACTTGTCTGCCCTGCTCCTCCCCGATTCCCTCACAGTTCAGCCTTCCTCTGTGAAGACTAACCAGAGCCCCCACCTCCACTGATCTCCCAGCCAGGGTCAAGGACCCCACCAATGAGTTGTCACCCCCAACAAATGAGATCGCTGAGGGCAGAGTAGTCCAGATCTGATGTTACATTCTCAGTAGAGACCTGGCACACAAGGGCAGTCAACGAAAGCTTGTGTCTCTGAAGCTATCCATTATTCCCTAGTGTCACCAGCAGCATGGCTGCCCTCCTCTCACTCCTTAAGTGCCTGTTCTGCACAAGTATTTAAAGTTCCAAGGTATAATGCCAAAACTAAGACCAAGATGAGTTAGATGGTGCTGGATGCTCCCTTCCCTCCCAGATGTCAAAACTGCTTAATTTTTTTCTGCTCACTTGAGGGCAAATCATGAGAAGTAATGGATTCTTGGCCAAGCCTGTGACAGAGTCCATAACCCACCTGGCTGGGGCCGCGGACCTGGCGGGCCTGTTTCTCCTGATCCCGCAACCACTGCAGGTAGGATTCCCGAGCCACCTGCTCCTCAATGGCCTCATTTGTGGCCTCCCAGTCCGTGGCCCGTTTCTTGTCTTCTAGCATCTGCTGTTCGATCCATGACTCCTCCGATGTTTTTATGGCATTCTTCATCAGAGACTGCTCTGCAAACTGCAAGGAGGGAGAGGAATAGGGATGTGCAATAACACACTGAACCTGCCCAAGAGCCAGAACAGGCTCAGCGAGGTAGGCCCCGGGGCACCAGAAAAAAAGGAGACAGGAAAGCAGGTACTCCCACAGAGCAACCCTCCGCAGACTACGTCATGATTGGGGACCAGGGGAAAGCAGGCTTGGGATGTGGAACCTGTCATTCCAAACTCCTATGCTTGGAAGACCTGACTCCAACCCCCAAACCACCTCAACTGAGGCACTGAGACTGGGGCAGTCAGGTGTCTTCCAACCTGGGCTTTTGATTTTTCTTTTGAGACGAAGTCTCGCTCTGTCACCCAGACTGGAGTGCAGTGGCGTGATCTCGGCTCACTGCAACCTCCGCCTCCCAGGTTCAAGTGATTCTCCAGCCTCAACCTCCCAAGTAGCTAGGATTACAGGTGAGCACCACCACCCATGGCTAATTTTTTTGTATTTTTAGTAGAGACGGGGTTTCACCATGTTGGCCAGGCTGGTCTTGAACTCCTGACCTCAGGTGATCCACCCGCCTCGGCCTCCCAAAGTGCTGGGATTACATGCGTGAGTCACCGCGCCTGGCTCTGGGCCTTAATTTAAAGAAGCCCCATCCAGTGATGACTGTTTCATAATGTTGAGGCCTTTCTCACACATGAGCAGATGAGACACATAGAAAAATTAGCTATATGAGCACAGGGTCGGAGTATTTAAGCATGTGAGGGGTTAGGGGAAGCAGTGGGTGTGTGAGGGAATAAGGGGGCAGTTATCAACATGGATGGTGTGGGGTGCTATGAGTTACAGGACACTACATCAGAGTACTGTTTTTCCGGCTATGAGATCCAACAGTATTTTTTAAAAATAGAAAATATCAGAGCATATCCCAGGGAATAAGTGCAAATATTGTTTCATGAAGCTTTAGTTAACATTATTTTAATGCACATATATACATCACACACAAATGCATATATGTTAAGTAATCATGTAAAATGTATTCTTTTATTTTTCCTGCAGACCTTACATTCAGATAAAATGTAATTTTTTACTCTAAATAGTTAAAAAAAAAAACGTAAAACTATGTTAGAATAAGCTAATTTAAAAAAAAGTTAAAAAATTTAACCACTCTGGCAGTGTTAAATACACTCCAAGTGTTTTTTCTACTCGCTCACTCAACAACAATCAACACAGGAGACTTCTGTGACCAAATGTGCGGGCTGGGGGGAGGGTGTTTTCCCACACAGCAAGCAGCTAGCAGCGGACACCTGGTGTCCCTCCTCCAATGCAATTCAATACCTAGAGACAGTCTGGGATCCCACAGGTTGAGGGCTCAGTCTCACAAGACTACCCCCACTCCCCTTTGAACACCAATCGAAAGTCTGGGCCTCCAGAATTTCTGACTGACCGGCTATAAATTGGGATTCCTACAATACTTTTTGGGGGGTTCAATTAACTTGCTTAGAGCAGCTCACAAAACCCAGGAAACACGTCTGCCAGTTTATTATAGAGAAAATTACAAAGGATACAGATGAGATGCACAGAGTAACATATGGGGGAAGGGATGTAGAGCCTCCATGCCCTCCCTGGGGTGCGACCCTCTAGAAACTTCCATGTATTCAGCTACCCAGAAGCTCCCAGAACCCAATCCTTTCGGGATTCTTTGGAAGCTTCATTATGTAGGCATTATTGATTAAGCCATTGGACATTGGTGATCAACCTAATCTTCAGCCTCTCTCCCCTCTCCAAAGGCTGGGGGATGGGCTTAAAGTCTCAAACCTCTAATCCTGCCTTGGTCTTTCAGGTCACCAGCCCCCATCCTGAAGCTACCTAGAGGCTGCCAGCCATCAGTCACCTCTTTAGCATACAAAAAGGCATCACTTTGGAGATTCTAAGGATTTTAGGAATTGTATGCCAGGAAGTCACAAACACAATTCACCAAAGAAGATATACAGATGGCAAATAAGCATATGAAAAGATGCTCAACAGCATTTGCCAATAGGCAATTGCAAGTTAAAATAATGAGATACCACTATACACCTAAGAGAATGGCTAAAATCCCACACAATGATAGTATCAATTGCTGGTAATGCTGAGCAACAGGAACTTCCAAATCGTTATGCTGGGCATGCAAATAATACAGCCACTTTGGAAGACAGTTTCTCAGTTCCTCAAAAATCAAAACATAATCTTACAACGCAATCCAGCAATCTTGCTCCCAGGTATGTATACAACTGATCTAAAAACTTATGTCCATAAAAAAACCTGCATGCACGTTACAGAAGCTTTATTCATAATCATCAAAAACTGGAAGCAACCAAGAATGTCTTTTAATAGGTGAATAATTAAACTGGTACCTCCATAAAAGGAACATTAAGTGATAAGAAAGAAACCAGCTAACAAGCCATGAAAGAACATGGAGAAACCTTAATGCATAATGCTAAGTGATAAGAAGCAGTCTGTCACATTGACCATTTTAATTTCAGGGCCAAAAAAGCAATTTGGCTGCAGGATGCTCACCCCTGCAATACCAGCACTTTGAGAGGCCAAGGCTGGAGGACCACTTGTCCTCAGGAATTTGAGATCGACCTGAGCAACACAGTGAGACCCTGTCTCTACAAAATAAAAATATTTTTATAAGTTAGCCAGGCGTGGTGGTGTGTACCTGTGGTACCAGCTACTCGGGAGACTGAGGTGGGAGGATTGCTTAAACCCAGAAGGTCAAGGCTGCAGTGATATTGCGCCACTGCACTCCAGCCTGGGCAACAGTGGTACAGTCTTAAAAAAAAAAAAAAAAAGCAGTTTGAAAAGGCTACATAAGGCTACATACTGTATTATTACAATTATATGACATTCTGAAAAAGGCAAACCCACAAAGATAATAGATTAGTGTTTGCAGGAAGAGGGAGGAAGGGAGAGGTAAGCATACATATGGAATATGAGGAATTTTAAGGGTGGTCAAACTATTCTGAATAATACTGTAATGGTAGATACATGACATTATATATTTGTCAAAACCCATAGAATGTATAACACAAAGAGTGGACCTTAATATATGCTATTTAAAAGAAAATTAGGAAGGTTGGGCACGGTGGCTCATGCCTGTAATCCCAGAACTTTGGGAGGCCAAGGCGGGTGGATCACCTGAGGTCAGGAGTTTGAGACCAGCCTGGCCAATATGGTGAAACCCTGTCTCTACTAAAAATACAAAAATTAGCCGGGCATAGTGGCATGTGCCTGTAATTCCAGCTACTCGGGAGGCCGAGGCAGGAGAACTGCTTGAACCAGGGAGGCTAAGGTTGCAGTGAGCCAAGATCGCACCACTGTACTCCAGCCTGGGTGACAAAGCAAGACTCTGTGTCAAACATAAAATAAAATAAAATAAATAAATAAATAAATAAATAAAATAAAATAAAAATTAGAAGATCTATGGCCAGTGCAGTGGCTCACGCCTGTAATCCCAGCACTTTGGGAGGCCGAGGCGGGCATATCACCTGAGGTCAGGAGTTCGAGACCAGCCTGAGCAACATGGTGAAACTCCGTCTCTACTAAAAATACAAACATTAGCCAGGCGTGGTAGTGCATGCCTGTAATTCCAGCTACTCGGGAGGCTGAGGCATGAGAATTGCTTTAACCCAGGAGGTAGAGGTTGCAGTGAGCTGAGATCATTGTACCACTGCACTCCAGCCTGGGCGACAGAGTGAGACTCTGTCTCAAAAATAAATAAATAAATAATTAGGAAATCTGAGATCCCAGCATAGAATGCAAAAATGTGACAAAATAATATAAATGTATTACAAACATATGAAACAAGCTTGGCCGGGCACGGTGGCCCACGCCTGAAATCCCAGCACTTTGGAAGGCTGAGGCGGGTGGATCACAAGGTCAGTAGACTGAGACCATCCTGCCTAACACAGTGAAACCCCGTCTCTACTAAAAATACAAAAAATTAGCCAGGTGTGGTGGTGGGCGCCTGCAGTCCCAGCTACTCGGGAGGCTGAGGCTGGAGAATGGTGTGAACCCGGGAGGCGGAGCTTGCTGTGAGCGGAGATCACGCCACTGCACTCCAGCCTGGGTGACAGAGCGAGACTCCATCTCAAAAAAAAAAAAAGAAACAACCTCATTTGAAGGGGGTGGGGGTACAAATAGGTCACTTTCAAAATGAATGGAGTCTGTAACACCAAAAGCAAAAAAGAACTATATGTAGCATTGTGCTGTAGTGATACAGTTGTTTCCCACGGGGGTACAGGTGAACAAGTCTGATTCTGCTACATGTGTATATGGAAGTGAGCAGTTACATAAACGGGTGGTAGGAGCCACTGCATATACATCCGATAGCATATCTACTGTTGGAGTGGGAATTTGCAGATCAACAAGGGGAGAAGGCTAGAATGAAGCATGTGATAATGGATCTGAGTTGGAGACATTAGTAAGGATTCATGTTTAATATAAATAAACATGGTTACACGTAGAAATATTTATAGATATGTGTACACAGGCCACTATACACACATGTAGCTCCTTGTTCTATCGTCTGAGAGGGCCTAGAAGCATGGACAACCTGATATCGAAGAACACATTCAACACCTAGGTCTTGGCTTCTGTTAACATTCTCCAATACGTTCCAGGGCTCTTTAGAGAAATGGCTGTTTCAGCCGGGCGCAGTGGCTCACACCTATAATCCCTGCACTTTGGGAGACCGAGGAGGGTGGAACACCTGAGGTCAGGAGTTCAAGACTTCAGCCTAACCAACATGGTGAAACCCCATCTCTATTAAACAATACAAAAATTAACTGGGTGTGGTGGCGCATGCCTGTAATCCCAGCTACTCGGGAGGCTGAGACAGGAGAATCGCTTGAACCAGGGAGTGGAGGTTGCAGTGAGCCAAGATAGTGCCACTGCACTTCAGCCTGGTGACAGAGCAAGACTCTGTCTTAAAAAAACAAAAAATTAGCTGGGCATGGCGGCGCATGCCTATAATCCCAGCTGCTTGGGAGGCAGAGGTTGCAGTGAGCAGAGATTGTGCCCTTGCACTCCAGCCTGGGCAACAAGAGAGAAACTCCGTCTCACAAAAAAAAAAAAAAAAAAAAAAGACCGTATTGAGATGAATAAATAACAGGAAAAATTAATAAATTAAGGATGAGTTAAGGATGAGAGACAGATCCTCCTTGAAGAATTCCAAATAATCTATGCAGATACTCTACCCTTAAGGGGATGGGGCATAACCATTTCTTAGGTGTGGGCTGCACAGAGTGACTTCCTTCCACACAGTACAGTATGGAAAAGGTGGGAAAGAGTAACCTTAAGTGGAGAAATCTAACAAACACTACTTCTGCCAGCTGATCAAGGGTAACACCGACGGGCATAAATGACACTCATTGTATACACCCTTGAAATGATGTAATGAGAATGGCACTTTACCTCTGTGATCTTCTTCCCTAAGTCCCACAACCCTAGTTTAAACATGAGAAAAAGTTCAAAAGAGATGTTTCCTACAAAACATTTGATCAGTACTCCTTAAAAAACCATCAAGGTCATCAAAACAAAACTGAAACTGTCAAAGATAAAGGGGCCTAAGGAGGCATGCAGACTTTGTTTAATAGTAACGTATTAGGCTGGGCGCAGTGGCTCACGCCTGTAATCCCAGCACTTCGGAAGGCTGAGATGGTAGGATCACCTGAGGTCAGGAGTTCCAGACCAGCCTGGCCAATGTGGTGAAACCCTGTCTCTACTAAAAACAGAAAAATTAGCCAGGTGTGGTGGTGGGCACCTGTAATCCCAGCTACTCAGGAGGCTAAGGCAGAAGAACTGCTTGAACCCAGAAGGCGGAGGTTGCAGTGAGCCGAGATCATGTCACTGCACTCCAGCCTGGGCAACAGAGCAAAACTCTGTCTTTAAAAAAAAAAAGTATTAACATTGGTTCGCACATTGTAACAAATGTACCATAATCATCTGAGCTGTTAATAATACCAGAACTGGACGCGGTGGCTCACGCCTGTAATTCCAGCATTTTGGGAGGCTGAGATGGGCGGATCACCTGAGGTCAAGAGTTCGAGACCAGCCTTCAACATGGTGAAACCCTGTCTCTACTAAAAATACAAAAATTAGCTGGGTGTGGTGGCAGATGCCTGTAATCCCAGCTACTTGGGAGGCTGAGGCAAGAGAATCGCTTGAATCTGGGAGGCAGAGGTTACAATGAGTCAAGATTGCGCCATTGCACTCCAGCCTGGGTGACAAGAGCGAAACTTCGTCTCAAAAAAAAGATAATAATAATAATAATAGTAGAACTGTGTTTGGGAAGAGGAGGATATGTGGGAATTCTGTATTATCTCCTCAATTGTTCTGTAATTCTAAAACTGCTCTAAACAATTGAGTCTATTAAATACAAAAACTTAAAACATTCATTTTTTTTTTTTTTTTTTGAGACGGAGTCTCGCTCTGCCGCCCGGCTGGAGTGCAGTGGCCGGATCTCAGCTCACTGCAAGCTCCGCCTCCCGGGTTCACGCCATTCTCCTGCCTCAGCCTCCCGAGTAGCTGGGACTACAGGCGCCCGACACCGCGCCCGGCTAGTTTTTTGTATTTTTTAGTAGAGACGGGGTTTCACCGTGTTAGCCAGGATGGTCTCGATCTCCTGACCTCGTGATCCGCCCGTCTCGGCCTCCCAAAGTGCTGGGATTACAGGCTTGAGCCGCCGCGCCCGGCCAAAACATTCATTTTATTTTTTCTTTCAGACAGAGTCTCGCTGTCGCCCAGGCTGGAGTGCAGGGTTCGTGAAATCTCAGCTCACTGCAACCTCTGCCTCCTAGGTTCAAGTAATTCTCCTGCCTCAGCCTCCCAAGTAGCTCAGATTATAGGCGTGTGCCACCATGCCCTGCTAATTCTTTTTTGTATTTTTAGTAGAAACAGGGTTTCACCATGTTTGCCAGGCTGGTCTCAAACTCCTGACCTCAGGTGATCCTCCCACCTCAGCCTCCCAAAGTGTTGGGATTACAGGAGTGAGCCACTGCGCCTGGCCAAAACACTGACATTTTTGAAGAAAAAGAGGAAGCTGGGTGCAGTGGCTCATGCCTGTAATTCCAGCACTTTGGGAGGCCGAGGCGGGAGGATCACTTAAGCCCAAGAGTTCAAGACCAGCCTCGGCAATATACTGAGATCTTGTCTCTACAAAAAAATTTTTTTTCATTTTTTTTTACAAAAAATTTTTTAAAAACACTGGCCAAGCATGGTGGCGAGTGCCTGTAGTCTCCCAGCTACTCGGGAGGCTAAGGTGAGAGGCTTGCTTGAGCCTGGGAAGTGGAGGCTAGCTACAGTGAGCCTAGATTGCCCCACTGCACTCCAGCCTGGGTGACAGAGTGAGACCTTGTCTCCCCACCCGCCCACCAAAAAAAAAAAAATGAGCCATTAAACCAGGACAAGTCACAGATGAATCTTAAATGCATAGTGTTAAGTGAAAAAAGCCAGTCTGAAAAAGCTACATACTGTACATTTCCAATTATATGACATTCTAGAAAAGGCAAAACGAGAGTCAGTAAACAGATCGAAAACAAAAACAAGAAAATTCTGAGAAACTGTCACAGCCAAGAGGAGATAAAGGGGACACAACAACTAAATATAATATGGCATCCTGGATGGGATCCTGGAACAGATAAAGGTCATTAGGGAAAAACTGAGGTAATCTGAGTCAAGTATGGTCTTTAGTTAATATATCGATATTAGCTCATTAACTATGACAAATGTACTATGTTAATACATTAATCATAGTGAGGCACATGGGAACTCTGTAATATCTTTGCAACTTTTTTTTTTTTTGAGAGAGTCTCATTCTGTCGCCCAAGCTGGAGTACAGTGGCACAATCTCAGATCACTGCAACCTCCGCCTCCCAGGTTCAAGCGATTCTCCTGCCTCAGCCTCCTGAGTAGCTGGGATTACAGGCACCCGCTGCCATGCCCAGCTAATTTTTATATTTTTAGTAGAGACAGGGTTTCACCATGTGAGCCAGGCTGGTCTTGAACCCCTGACCTCAGGTGACCTACTGGCCTCGGCCTCCCAAAATGCTGGGATTACAGGCGTGAGCCACCGGGCCCAGCCACTTTGCAGTAATTCTGTAAATCTAAAGCTGCTCTAAAATTAAGTTTATTTAAAAACAAAACAAAAAAGAACTATGTTGGAGGGTGTGTTGGTGTTAGGGTATGTGTTTCCGAAAATGAAGCAGGAGTACTTTGTGTTTGTAGAAGTGAAACCTGAATAGAAGATACCAAAATCCTCAGCAGATGACTATGACAGAGAGGGGAGAGGGGAGAGGGGAGAGAGAGAAAGAAATGAGAATCTATCAGTGTGTGCTGGGAAAATGCACTGCCACCTTCTGAACACCTACTAGGCCCCAGGCCCAGTGGGAGGTGCTTTCTGTATCAGCCAAGCTGCCAGCCTGGAATACTTATAGAATCTGCCTAGATTACACAGCCAGTGAGTGGTGGGGCCAGGCCTGTACCCCATGTCTCTGTGACCATGGCTGGCTGTAACCACTATGATCCTGGGAGAAAGATACATGCCAAGATGCCTAGAGCAGACCCTGGCTCACCGCTCCCAAATAGGACTCCATATCCTAAAATGCCAGCCCTCAATGGGCACAAAAGATAGGTAAGCCAACTCAGATGGGCAAATCAAGACCAAAGAACAAGCCCTGAGAGATCACCTTGAGTAACTCCCTATATTTTTTTTTTATAAGGGTGAGACCTCAGGGGAGACCCAGAGAGGAGACAGGGTATTTCTGTGAGTTAGGGGCAAAACAGACTCCAACAGAGGTTTCTGACCTCTATATCCAGCAGCCATTCTGGGCATAGGGACCTACTCACCCCTGGTTTGAATGATGGCAGGCCCAGCCCCACACCAATGGTGGCCTTGTTAGGATTCACCACTGAATTATAGTGGATATTCCGATGGTAGCTGACACGAATGGGTTCGTCCTCGTTTTGATGTATCCCATGGAATGTGTTGATGGGTTCTGCAGAGAAAGAGAAGGAGGGAGCATCCACAGCAGGCCAGGTAGGGCAGGCTCGAACGAGGTGCCATCAGTCCCTCACCTACCCACTGCAGAAGTACCTGTGCTGTACTGGTACACCTCCACAGGACGGTTGTACATCTCTGCCATGGCCTGCATCTCAATGTGGTTGCCATGGCAATTGTTTTTTCGCTTCCGGTTAATGTAGGTGGTAAAGTCCTCTGTGACATAGTTGGAGAAGTAGTCAGCATTCTTCATCTACAGAATAGATTGGAAGGTTAAGGTCTGTGTGGAGAAGAAATCCTCCCACCCTGCCCCTCCCCCAAAGGCCTCCCCCATTTTCTCACCAGATAGTCCATGCAATGCTTTCGCACAACCTCATGCATGTCCTGGTCTCCATACACCTGGTCAGCTGTGGGGGCAGAAGAAAGCAGCGGCTAGGTCAGAGATGCCAGAGAAGAGCTCTGAATCACAGAACATCCTTTGGGGAGGAGGAGCTGGGGGACCAGGGAAATTCCCTTTTCTACCCCAAGGCCTGGAGAGTTCTTGCCCTTGTAGGCTAGAACGGGGTCATGGAAAAATAAGGCAGGCAGGGCCAGACTTGAAGAACAAGAGAGTGCAGGTGAGAGGAACACAGCCACAAGCCTCTTGGGCAGATGACTTTATCTAGGGTACACGTGGCCACTCAGAGAAATCAACAACATTCTAAGTTCCATAGGTTGGCCTCAAAAGCTATTGATTCCCATACCACCTCTTCACTTTCCACATGAGGAAACTGAGGTTCAGGAGGAGTTTGTGGTTTGTCCAAGATCACAAAGAGTCAGTCTGTGACAGAGACAACTCTGAATTCAGTTTTCCTGACTCCCATGAGCCAACACAGCCTTTGTAGGTTGAAAAAAAAAAGGAACAAAGACAAAAAAAGAAAAACAGAAAAAAAAAGGGGGGGGCCTCCAAGCCCAGTTCTGCCAGATACTAGAGAGCTGAGTGACCAGAGGCAAGTGACCCAAGTGTTCTGAGCCTCATATATCTCATCTGTAAAATAGGAACAAGAGGGATAACAGGCCAGGCATGGTGGCTCACGTTTGTAATCCGAGCACTTTAGGAGGCCGAGGCAGGCAGATCACTTGAGGTCAGGAGTTCGAGACCAGCCTGGCCAACATAGTGAAATCCCGTCTCTACCAAAAATACAAAAATTAGCCGGGCATGGTGGCAGGCACCTGTAATCCCAGCTACTTGGGAGGCTGAGGCAGGAGAATCGCTTGACCCCGGAGGCAGAGGTTGCAGTGAGCTGAGACTATGCCACTGCACTCCAGCCTGGGCAACAGAGTGAGACTCTGTCTCCAAAAAAAAAAAAAGGGATAACCACATGGCAGGCCTTAATGGTGGGGATTAAATGAGATAATGGGTATAAAATAACTACCACTGGGCTTGGGACAGAGTAGCCACACAGTAAATCGGAATTCCTTCCTCCATAGGGAGGCCTGAATGTGGGGTACTGTGAAGGTGACAGAGGTGAGTAAAATCCTGCCCCTACCTTCGGGGAGCACACAGTCTAGTAAAAGAGATAAGACACACATGCAACTAACTTTAGCTTAACTCAGGATGGGCAGCCTGTGGCCCGAATAGTCCAGGCGTCGTGAGATTTGGTCAAACTAAGGCGAGAAGGAAACACACTCCCTCTGCTTCGCTTGAGGATCTTCACACATGCCGTTCCTTCTCTTCAGGACGCTCCTTCCATCCTCGTCAGCTGCCTACTTCTCAAACACCAATGTGTTCTTTATTTATTTATTTATTTGAGACAAGGTCTCGCTCTATCGCCCAGGCTGGAGTGCAGTGGCGCGATCATAGTTCACTGCAGCCTTGACCTCCTGGGCTCAAGCGATCCTCTCGCCTCAGACTCCCAAAATGCCTGGATTACAGGTGTGAGCCACCGCGCCTGGCCCAACATGTTCTTTAATACAGTTCCCCACTACCCAGGACACCTCTATCACCAGATTTATCAGAGGTGTGCATAGACTTCTGCCCGACTGCACTGGGCTCCCACTGAAGGCAAAGGGCAGTTCACACCAAAGTCCACCCCCAGCTCAGGGCCCGATACAGTAAAGGAAATCAGGAAAAGTTTATTGAGCAAATGGATAGGCTGGGTAAGCCAGAGAGCTCTTCTCCCTGTGAAATTAAAGTGGGCCTGAAGATCATGCAAGTCTGATTTCCACTGGTTTAGGGAATTTCCCTTTGTTTCCCCAGAGGACCACTGCTCTGATGGGATCTCCCTAGGGCACTGGGCTAGGGTCAGGTCACACAGGAACACTCCCGAGTTCTTCCCTGTCAGTCTACCTCTCTGAAGAACTGTCAGAAGAACGCCTTCCCTGCCTTCCCCTTCCTACTCTGGATGGCTCTGTGAGAAAGGCTACTCTGAGATAGAAGATAGGGCCCATGTTTGCCTCCTGTCCTCTTGGAGGTGAAGAGACCTGAAGCGTAAGGGGGTGTGGAGGTTGTGAAGGCGGGAAGGGGGTAGCCCCTTCACCAATGTAAACAAGGATGTGGGTTCTGCGGCCACACTCTCCCCCGCCCTCCCCAGCGGCATTTCCAGCAAGTCACATGTCCTGCGCACAGGCTGGGGGCCCCCTGCTGCTGCCTTTCTTAGAAGCCAGGACCACAAAGCCCGCACAGTGAGCTGCTTGAGGAGCTATTTCTGTAGGCTGAGCTTGGGGTACTGGGAGGCAGTGCTGTTGGCAGCTGCAGTAAACAGGAACAAAGATGAGCGTGAAGGGGTTAAATAGGGGTTGGTTGGCCAGGCTCAGAGAGATAGGCTGAGGTGATGGAGAAAGCCCATCTCCTATGGAAAGGTCAATTGTCATTTCCAGGCCTGGGAGTTCTATCTTCAAGAGCTAGATGCCAGATGCAGGAAAATGGGGGAAAGAGAGGAGACCATGGAACAGGGAAGGGATCTGGGGGAAAACCCCCTGAGGGTCCCATTTCTCTGCTACTGACCCCTTTGGCCTGGCAGAAAGGCTCTGCTGCCTCCTAGCTGTGTGGCAATGGATAAAGCCTTTAACCTCTCTAAGCTGAAATGTCCTCGTGCATGAGGTAGAGACAGTAACTCCTCTTCCATTTGCTGGGTGTTGTCAAAACTACACAGGAGGTTTGCCAAGCACCTAAGGCATAGTAGGTGGTCAAGAAACAAGAACATCATTTGTCATGACGACAATGATTCCTTCATATTGCTAGTTACCCACAAGTCAGCCAGAATGTTGCCATAACCACTTATGAAGCCCTTCCTCATTTCTGTTGCAATTGCTCAGTCAGAGGAAAGCCCCAAATGCAGACCTAGGATGCATGTCCTCTCCTGGCTCTCTACCTTTAGTGAAACCAAAGGTCCACAAGTCTACCTCTAGGCCCTTAGTTCTAACAAAACTTCAGCAGTTAAATTAATATCAAGTTAACAATACAGGCTTCATAAAACAGGGTCCTAAACTATGGACAAGTTATGACACTTCTTTCCTTATCTGTAAAATGTAAAATACCACCTTCTCTCCTCAATCCTACGACACCACTGATAGGTGATATGGTATAACATGTACCTAATCACAGCTTTTGGTGGGGAAATATATCACACTGATTATAAGGTATATCCTAAGTTTGGAATCATTAATGTGGAAGAAAATATACATCTCCAAATCAAGGAAAACAGCAATAGTAGGACCCCAACAAGGGAGAATAGGATTTCTCCAATAACATAAGGCAGGAAAAGCATCTAAGCACAGAGCTAAACACATAGGAAGTAGTCAACAAGAATTCATTTTTGGCCAGGTGTGGAGGCTCACACCTGTAATCCCAGCAATTTGGGAGGCCAAGGCAGGTGGATCACCTGAGGTCAGGAGTTTGAGACCAGCCTAGACAACATGGTGAAATCCCATCTCTACTAAAAATACAAAAAATTAGCCAGGCGTGGTGGCAGATGCCTGTAATCCCAGCTATTTGGGAGGCTGAGGCTGAAGAATCGCTTGAACCTGGGAGGTGGAGGTTGCAATAAGCCAAGATCACACCACTGCACTACAGCCTAGGCAACAAGAGCGAAACTTCTCAAAAAAAAAAAAAAAAATTCGTTTTTCTGACTTTCCTAGCTCCACCTCTGTCCTCCAGAAAGCCCTCCTCTTCCCAGAAGGCTGGCACACAAGGCTGGGGGCAAGGCATGACTTCCCTGTGGAGGGGTCTGAGGTTGGGGGGATGACCTGCAGAGGTAGGGGAATTCAGAGAACTTGTTTTGATAGAAACTGAAACTTCTCCTGCTGACGCTGCACTTGTGGGCAATCTGCACCTGTTCTCCCTTCCCAAAGGCCAGCTGGAAGGGGGTCCCCCACCATTCTGCCTCTGTTCCCATCTCCAACTGGGCTCAGAAATCCTCAGTAAAATACTACAATTGGTCCCATACCAAAGACTTTTCACACTCCAACTCGTTCTACCCTTACCAAAACACTCTTACTTTACCCAGGAGACACAGAAATGTGGCAAAGCTGCCCTGGGATCACACGTTTAGCGGGGTGAAGGGGAGGCCAGGCTCTCAAAGGGTAACTGCTGGCCCCAGCTGATATTACCACCCTCACCCCAATCTAGCCACCATCTTAGTCGCCTTACTCCCTGGGGCAGGACCTGATCTTGTGTGCCTCAGTTTCCACACCAGCACAAGCAGGAATCAGCTAGAACTCAGGAAAGGCATGGGAGTGGGCAGAGATTATAGATATCAGGGGCTGTATCTCTCCCTAGGGCCACAGAGGCCAACATGAACATTACCGTCCCCATACACACCCTACTTCTTTCCTTTTTCTGGACACACAGAGACACCAGTGTAGAAATGCACATGTGTATACACATACAGCAGAGCCTGCCAAAGATGCTCCCTGAGGCCAAATGCTCACCCAATAAATCCCACAACAGAGAACTATCACATTCAATGAGTAGATGCCCCTGCCACTTCAGGAAAGACTGAAGATAAGAGGCTCTACAAACTGAGGAAACCCCTACCCCACCAACCTCCTTCCTAGCCTCTGGCAGGGTAGGTGGAGGGCAGGGAAAATAACCAAGAGCTCTAACAGACTAGCCTCAACCTCTCTCCTCTGCTGCCTGGGAGAAGTCCTCATGTAACTAATGTAATGTAACCAATAATGTACCCAGATTTATGTTAAGAAGCAAGACATGAGAGCCTGGATTATCTTCCTATAGGGTCCTACCATTTGCTTTAGAGACATCTGAGAATTGCCTACTCCCCAGGTAGCTGCCTGCCTGCCAGAAGAGCCATAGCAAGTTCCGCTAAGGGCAAAAAAGGAAGCTAGGTGTCTACAGGGAACCTAAAAACAAACCACACAAATGTGTGTACACACAGCTGCAGAGGGAGACAGGGACCTGGTCTGCTCCCCACTACCATCCTGGTCCAGTGGAACCCTGGCCCCACTGAGAACAAATCTCCTGAGGAGATAAGCCAGGACAAAGGTCTCACTTGTCTGTCAAGCAGCCGTGGTGTGACCTGGTCTGTGGTCCCAACTACCCCAACTAGCATATCCTCAGTGGGAGAGACAGAAGAACTCATCCCCCTGGAGAGTCTGGTTCCTGAGATGTGTGCTCCTCTGCTCAAGGATTCCCACTGCAAGGATGAGAAACCTGAAGGATACAAGGGAGATACAAGGAAGCTGGTGTACAGGAAATGGCCCATGGGAATCTTCTTCTTTCTGAGGCCTGGTTCAACCTCAAATACCAATGTTCTGACACTGGTTGTATGACCTAGACAGGATAGGGTCTTGGCTTTCTCTTGAGGCCTCAGTTTCCCCATTTATAAAACAATCAAAATTGACCTCAGATCCACCCCTCCTAGTGCTGATGGTCCATGTTCCAAGACCAAAAGGCACAGAAGAGTGGGCCTAGCCAATGTTTCTGGGCCTCATCATGGTAACATGCACAGCCCTTGCCACTCCCCCATGGCCCATGTAGAAACAACCATGTGGCCTCCACTCTGCCCACAGAAACTAGCACCAGGACCCTGGCCAGGGTTAGAGGTTTCTGCTGAGTCAAAGCCACATGGAGAGAGGGAGCAAGGGAGAGATGCAGAGTCACATTTCCAAGAGGAGGTTATCTGAGCATAACAGGGACAGGGTGGGCCACAGGATACCTCTGAGGCTCAGGTTCCCACCTCCCCTCCACCCAAGGCTTCACTGATGCTCATGAATCCCCAATAAGAGGAGGTGGGAGAGAACTGAGTGCAAGCAACGGATATTGGTTCACTCAGGGGAACCAATGGCAGGCAGGCAGCTACCTGGGGAGTAGACAATTCTCAGAAGTCTCTAAAGCAAATGGTAGGACCCTATAGGAAGATAATCCAGGGAAACAGAAGGCAGAAACCCACTTGCCTCAAGAGGCCCAACAACAGAGGGCCATGTGCTCCTACTTGGAGGAGGTAAGGTCCAGAGATGTCAAGGAACACAGTCAAGGTCATCCAGCCAGTTGACAACCAAGCTAAGAAGCTAAGGATCCTAGGATCATAAAAAGAATGTGTCCTGGCCAGGTGCGGTGGCTCACGCCTATAATCCCAACACTTTGGGAGGCCAAGGCGGGTGGATCACAAGGTCAGGAGCTCGAGACTAGCCTGACCAACATGGTGAAACGCCATCTCTACTAAAAAACACAAAAATTAACCAGGTGTGGTGGTGCACGCCTGTAATCCCAGCTACTCAGGAGGCTGAGGCAGAAGAATCGCTTGAACCCGGGAGGCAGAGGTTGCAGTGAGCCGAGATCACGCCACTGCACTCCAGCCTGGGCGACAGAGGGAGACTCCATCTCAAAAAAAAAAAAAAAAAAAGAATGTGGGTCCTTTGGACACCTCTAGGTTCCCAGGCCAGTTCTGGCTAATGGCCCTGAGCATGTCATTCCCCTTTCTATGCTTCAATCTTTTCACCTGTCTCACGGGATAATGATCCAAGTTTTGCAAGTGAGCCTGAAGCACCCAGCTGAATGTCTAGCACAAAGCAGGGGTCAAGGAAACAGTGCCCTCTATGTTTGCAACCCCCCCGCCAACTCCAACTCTCTGCTCCACGTTCCTTCCACTATTCAACACATGACAGGAAGTCAGCCTGTAGGGCTTCACACTACAGCCTAAGCTGACTGCCATCTGTCCCCATCCAGGCGAGGCTGGAAACTGGGGCGGGGGGGGGGGGGCGGGGTGCCAGGCAGCAAAAAGCCCAGGGACAAAGTCCCCTTCCCAGGCACATGTATTTATGCACTCTGCACCAAGGAAACCTCCAGATAAGGTCTAGAGACCAGGGGCCATGTACTTCGGGGGAGAGACCACAGGACCTCTGAGGTTTTACAGAGAAAAGCCAAAGGCAGCCCAGTCAGGGGAAATGTGTAGCCATAGTCCCGATAAGGAAAGGCCTTCAACCTGCTGTGGTCAGCTCTTCCTGTAAGTAGAGGCCCCTTATACTGAAGGCCCCAGTGGGAGGAAGGGTCGGGAGTATTTGGGGAGAAGAGCTAGATACACAGATACACACACACACACACACAAATACTGCTCTTGATACGAGTTACTACAACAAGCCAAGTAGCCCCAAGAGTCGGGGGTATTTGGGGAGAAAAGCTAGATACATACACATACACACACACACACACAGCTCTTGATATGAGTTACTACACAAGCCAGGTCCTTACTAGCCAGCCCCGAGGCTTACCCTCAATGACTGCCCAAGACTCAGATGCCTGCTGTACTCTCTGATCCTAACTCCACCAGCAACCCTGCTTACCCCACATCCAGCCTGAGGTCTGGACACAGGGCCTCGCACCTAACAGGCCCCCACCTATTCTTTCTTTGCCTTTCTTTTGTCCAAGATGCCCCGAAACCCAGCTCTTCCTCTGGGAAACATCCCAGGAAAAACACAAACTTGAGACAAAGGGGCAGGAGGGGTAAGTTTTTTCCCAGTCCAACAGAGCCCACTGCCTGAGCCTCATCTGCTTGGCAGAATAGAGAGGAGACCACTCACTCCACCCTTTCAACAAACACATGTGACTCTGAGGCACCACTGAAAACGGCATCTGGGTTTTACAAATGCTACTGTTCCATGAGGGTCTACTATATGTGTCAGGCACTAAAGGGATTTACCAAAGCAACTTCATTAAATCGTTACAACATTAGGGTATTTTAGCCCCATTTTATAGATGAGGAAACGGCCTCAGGAAAGAAGAGCTGCTTGCCTAAGGTCATACCAAGAATCAGGGGTGCAGCCAGGGATGGAGCCTGAAACACTCCAGCCCACCAGTAGACATGGGGGTTACCCACAGACAGAGAGAATAGCAGACCAAGAAGGAACTCAAAGAGGCCTTGAGAATCAACACCATTTCACAGACGGTAAGACCAAGGCCAAGTGTCACAGCAGTTATGAGTCAGGGCCAGAACTAGAAGGTAGGTCTTCTGACTCCCAGCTCAAAGCTCCTATCAGAGGGCACTTTTCCTTGGTAGGTATCAGAGCACCAAAGGGAGGATCAGGGTCACATTCCCAGCTTCCCCTTCACCCTAGCACAGGACCTCACAACTACTTGTGGGGTCACAGATTCAGAGCCAAAATGGCCTCAAAGATCCAGCTCAGACTGGATAACTGATGGTATTAAGGCATTATTAATTCTGTTAGGTGCAGTAATGGCATTTTGATTAAGTTAAAAAGAAAAGAGTAAGTCTGTATCTGTCAGAGAAACATACAGAAATATTTACGAATAAAATGATCCAATGTCGGGGTTTTGCTTTAAAAATACTCTTCTTTCAGGGGAGTGAGAAAGAGTGGGCGGGATAGTGATGAAACAAGGCTGGCCACGTGTTGACTATTTTGAAGCTGGATGATGGGTACATGAGGGTTCATCATTCTACTTTTATGTAAGTTGAAAAAAAAATTCTATGACATAAGAAATTTGTAAAGATCTAGTTTGGTAGCCCCCATATACACAGATTGAGGAACAGAGACCCGCAACACACCAGAGATGGGATCTGGGTATAAACCTAGGGGTCATACAGCCAGGGTGGCAGCAGTGTGCTATGGTTAAGAGCATGGGCCTCAGACTAATCTAATGCAGACACTGAATCCCAAGTCTACCACTTATTATTTTACTCCAGACAAGTCACCCACCATCTCGGAGCCACTTTTCTCATCTGACAAATGGAAGCAACAATAGTCCCTACACGCACCTAGCTCAGGGGGGAATCAAAGAGGTTTCCTGTAGCACCTGACAGACCAATGTGTCCCAAAGGATATTATTTTCTTTATCACTCTTCTTGCTGTTATTATTCATATTAATCTTGCACCACTACAACGTCTCAAGACCCACGGCTAGAGGTCAGATACCAACTTGAGGCTGGAGCCTGGAGTCCCTAAAAGATTAGCTAGCTCTGCCTCAACCCTGTCTCAGGGGCTATTCCTGGTAACTGGGACACAGCTTAGGGGCAGCCCTAGGCCCTTAAGGACTAAGGCAGAGACTCACCTACAGCCCGGAAGAGACAGGCGCCATCCTCCTTCATCTGCTTGATGATGAAGCCCTTCTTGTCTCGTAGGGCCTTTTCAAACCAATGCTCCTGCTGGAGGGAAGAGGTGGGGGTCAGCAACAGGGAAAACCTACACTCCATCCCCAGGGCCCCGACCTCAAGCTCCCGAGAGGCCTAGGTCATTGACAGAGAGGACGCTGGCCAAGGTAAAGTTCTCAGCCCTGTGTGACCACTCCATGCATGTGAAGTAGGAGACTCTTTTAGGGAATCAGTTGCTGAGTGAAACTAAGACTTGCTTCCAAAAGGGTCCCAGGTGCCCTGAGAACAGTGGCCCCATCTGCCTTATGACTTTTGCTGACCTTGCAGGGCCTGGCCCAGGGAGCCACATTGCCCCAGGCAGCCAGAGACTCAGACCCAGCAAGTGCCTGAGTGGAGAATGTGGCTCTACCTTAAGGAATTTCATCTAGGAAAGGTGGTGAAGAGGGAGTAACTGGCAAGAGCCTAGATCCTGAACCTGACAAAGGGCTAGAGGATTCCAAGATATGCTGTAGGCTGGGCGCGGTGGCTCACGCCTGTAATCCCAGCACTCTGGGAGGCCAAGGTGGGTTGATCACCTGAGGTCGGGAGTTTGAGACCAGCCTGACCAACAAAGAGAAACCCCGTCTCTAATAAAAATACAAAATTGGCCGGGCGTGGTGGTGCATGCCTGTAATCCCAGCTACTCGGGAGGCTGAGGCGGAAGAATCACTTGAACCCAGGAGGCAAGAGGTTGCAGTGAGCCGGGATCATGCCATTGCACTCCAGCCTGGGCAACAAGAGTTAAACCCCACCAAAAAAAAAAAAAAAAAAAGATATACTCTAGAAGACAAAAGTGTACAAACAATATTCTCATCTGTGACTGAACACATTTAACAGATAGATATCTACACACATATACATATGTATGTATACAAACACACATACACAAAATTGGGAAAGCTAGACAGCAAAATATTATCCCTAAGTCCTGGTGTTACCAGCGATTTCACTGCACTTTCCTTTTATAAAAGTACACTAAACCCAAAAAGCTTTGAAAATCAAAAGCCTTTAGCGAATTCATTTGGCATCATAACCTGACCAGAACTGACAAGAATCTATCCCACTTGGGGTGAATATTCAAATATTTCAATGCAGAAAACATACAGGTGTTTGATTATGAGGTGTTGCCTCAGACCCTGCTGGAGGTGTTACGTAATACAAAGTATACACACCAGGTGAGTTTCATAAATTCTGAATTTTTCCTAAATTCCAAAGCACATCTGGCACCGTGAAGGTTCAACTTAAATGAACCTGTACAAATGCATATTTTTGGATTAAAAAAAATGACCACATAACCTCTTAGAACATAATTTTCATTTCAAAACAAAACCAACCAGAAGCAGCAGACCTTTCCTGGGCCCCTTACGCCCTCTGCTGGCTACCAGAAGCAGCCAGCCTGACCCAGCAACAGGGCTGCAAACTACAGGATCCCAAGCCTGCTCCTTGGGAACACAGGCCTGCCCAGGAATTTATAGGATCTGGGGTATCAGAGACCAGACATAGGGGCCCACCTGTCCATAAGGCCATTTTTCCCCAGCTCAGGCAAGGGGTGGAACCCATCCCCTAGGAAAGCCAGAGGAGAAGCATCTCTGGCAAAGTTGTAAGCACAAGGTTTGGAAGGCAAGAGCTCTGGATTCCAACCCCAGCTTTGTCACAAACTTGCTGTCCGATATCAGTCTCAGTTTCCTATGGAATGGGGGATATGTTGATCTACCGGACAGAGCTGTCAAGAGGTTCAGAGGCGTTTCAGGACCTAAAGAAGCTTTGTAAATAACGTACCATATACTGGGGGAAGTTGTCGCCAGTCACAGAAGGGGAAGAGATCAGCACGGAGATTATGTACAACTGAGAGGCCCTCAGCAAATCCTAGGTGAGTAGCAGGACAGGAGGGGAGGAAGAGGTGACAAGGGAATACCCGGCCAGCCCCGTCATCAGGGCCCACACCCCAGGAAGATGTGGCTGGATTTCTAGAGATGACAAAGGCACCTGGAAGCCCTTAATGAGCTTCCATGCGCAGCACAAGGACTTCTGTTTGTGCACAACATTCCAGTGGTCCAGGTGGCCCTCCTTGCCCCTGAGCCTGTGGATTAACACACTTCAGCCAGTTATGGCCAAGTCCATCCTGGCCACACAGGGTCAGCCATCTCCCAGAGTCATGGGCCTGCCCCAGCCAGGGATCTCCAGCAGGGATGGTGCAACCGTAACTATAGTCCCAAACCTGACACAAGAATGGGTTCTTAAAAAAGAACACAGAAACTTCCTGCCTTTGGAGAGAGGGGGAAAAGAGAGGCGAAAAAGAGGTCAAACAGGAGAGGGGCTCCTACTTATCCATCTAAGAAAGATTTACCAGGTAGCTACTCAGTAAGATACCGGGCTGGGCAGTGAGGACAGTGAAATGAATCAGACTTAGTCTCCACTCCTGATAAGCTCACAAACTATTTAGCAGAGGGGCAGGGAAACAGGTAACCACCACAAGGTATGAACAAGGCTGTGAAAAAGGTAAATACCAGGTGTTGTAAAACAAAAAGAGGCTGGGCACGGTGGCTCTCGCCTGTAATCCCAGCACTTTGTGAGGCCGAGGCAGGTGGATCACTTGAGATGAAGAGTTCAAGACCAGCCTGCCCAACATGGTGAAACCCCGTTTCTACTAAAAAATACAAAAAAAATAGCGGGGCATGGTGGTGCACGCCTGTAATACCAGCTAATCAGGAGGCTGAGGGAGAAGAATCGCTTGAACCTGGGAGGCAGAGGTTGCAGTGAGCCGGGATCCCGCCACTGCACTCTAGCCTAGGCGACAGAGCGAGACTCTGCCTCTGCCTCAAAAAAAAAAAAAAAAAAGAAGAAGAAGAAGAAAAGAAACACAGTCATTAGGTCAGGCGTGGTGGTTCACAACTGTAAACCCAGCACTTTGGGAGGCCGAGGTGGGCAGATCACCTGAAGCTGGGAGTTTGAGACCAGCCTGACCAACATGGAGAAACCCCGTCTCTACTAAAAAATACAAAATTAGCCGGGCGTGGTGGTGAATGCCTGCAATCCCAGCTACTCAGGAGGCTGAAGCAAGAGAATCGCTTGAACCCGGGAGGTGGAGGTTGCAGTGAGCTGAGATCACTCCATTGCATTGAGACGGTGGTGACGGGAGGTCCTTCGCGCGGGTCACCCGGGTGGAGGGTGCAGTGGGCCGGATCTCCAGGCTCGGACTGGGCGAAGCGTCCGCCTGCCCGGGTTTACGTCGGCCATGTCTCTGGCCTCCGAGGTCCGCCTCGCGAGCCTAGCTGGGGACACAGGCGCCTCGCCACCCCGCGGTCCCCGGCGTAGATTTGTTGTATGGTTTTTAGTAAGACGGGTGTTCAGCGTGTCAGCGAGGTCATCGGCGCTCTCGATCTCGCTTGACCTCGTGAT